GGTTTGGGAGGTCTCAAAGACAGAAGTTCCCTGCTCTGTTCTAATGGAATCAGGACACATCACCCTATGGACACAGACATGTGCTCACCAGCCTGTCAACTCTACTAAGCCTCTGTGTCCACGGATGTGAGTGGAAAGTCATATGTAGGCACCACTGACCAAATCACAGAACTCGGTCCTTAGTCACCTCTCCCAGATTGTCTAAAAGCCCCAAACCTAATTACATCACTTGTCTTTCTGATGACCACCACCCATCCAGAGTCGTATCATTTCTTGGCTTTAGCTCATGTGTGATAATAAGGGGCTTTTGAATAACAAGGATATTTGGACCACTAAGGAAATTCTGTGAATTACAGCCCCTCCCTCCAGGAGTGGGTTTCCTTCCTTAATATCCAGTAACATCCAGTTCATACCTCTCCAGATGAGGATAAAAATCCACTGAACAAGAACCAGTAGCTGGTCAGGATGGTTTTTTGTTTGTTACTTTTTATTATAGTAATGTTTAAAGATGACAACAGTAGAAAGAAATTTAAGGACCCTCTGTTCCCATCACTGTTACACCCTGGTTATCTTCCTGTGAATTAATCTATCATTGAGGACACACCCTGGCGTTCACCTGAAACCATGCCCAGACAGATAGGCATCCTACTAGTCTGAGGATTTTTTTTAACCAAAGCTTCTTGAGGGCATGCTGAACTCAGAGGCTGTAGGTCTGGGAGCAGATGGGTGGAAGCTGGGCACCCAGATGTCCTGAGACAGTAGCCTTTATCCATGGGAAGGACAGCAGGTAGCCTTACCTGAAGTCATCTGCCCCAAGCCCTTAATCACCTGAGTCAGCAAAAGGACCCCAGGCTCTGAGGTCACTTTTGCATGTGCTATGGCTACACCTCCTTCTCACCCTTCCCTGTATAATCTCTCTCCACCATTAGTTTGAGCTGTCACATGCTACATCCTACTCTCCAGTGCCACCTGGAAGTTTGGCTCTCCCATCTGGCAGTCTTTCAGCAACCCTTACTTGTGTGTGTGTGGGGGGGGGGGGGGGGCGGTGCCATGCTAGTACTGGGGCTTTAACTCCAGGCTTTGCATTTTTTTCTGTTGTTATTGGTTGTAGGGCTTGAACTCAGGCCTGGGCACTGTCCCTGAGCTCTTTTGCTCAAGGCTAGTGTTCTACCACTTTGAGCCACAGCACCATTTCCAGTTTTGGAGTCGTTAATTGGAGTTAAGAGTCTCATAGGGACTTTCCTGCCTGGACTGGCTTCGAACTGTGACCCTCAGATCTTAGCGTCCTGAGTAGGATTACAGGCATGAGCCACCAGTGCCTGGCTAGGCCTTGTGAAATATGAAATCAGAAACAGAACAAAATTATTGATTACCAAAAATGGGGCCAACTATTAAGACAGACCCCCTCTGAAGAGAGAAACTCCTGGTCAAATGGCAGGTAGTCAGCCTAAGCCTTTTCCATCCTTGCTAAAAAGAAAAAGAACATCTCTCCCTCACTCAAATTTACCAAGCTGGCAGCTTTGCAGTTTACCACAAACTGCTGAAGGCCACTGACAGTCTTGAGGCTTATCATCAGCTATGCTGAATTTGCTGTATTAGTCAGGAGCTTATAATAAAAATCATTTCTGTAAAATAGACTATCCCTTCCCAAGGTTATGTTTTGATTTTTGTAATCAAATATCAATAGCATCGATAGTATCAGTCCTGCTGACCAGCTCAAGACTGTTTGGCTTCTGCAACTCAAGGTTATGTTTTGCTTCTGTAAGTCTGCTTGCTTGTCTTTACAACTCCCCCCCACCCCGCCCCAATGTGGTTTTTCCCTTAAAAGACCCTCATCCGAAAAAGAGTTCACTGTATCCCACAACCCAAATAGTGGGGTAGGGGGCGGGAAGGTAGCTCAGTGGTAGAGGGCTTGCCTTGCATGCCTGAGGCCCTTGGTTTGATTCCTCAGTACCACATAAACAAAAAGAAAAAAGCCAGAAGTGGTGCTGTGGCTCAAGTGGTAGAGTGCTAGCCTTGAGCTGAAGAGCTGAGGGACCACGTCCAGGCCCCACGACTGGACCCCCCCCCCCCAAAAAAAGGCAAATGGCCAAATAGTAGGGTATAGTCGCTGTGCAGCTAATATAGACTTCTTGCCCTGTTTAAGTGTTGGCATGTCTCTTTGGGAAATTAGACTACTACAGGCCTTATGTTCTTGTTTAGCTTTTTTGCTCAAGGCTGAAGTTCTACCACTTGTTCCATAGGGCCACTCTAGCTTTTTGCTGGTTAATTGGAGATAAGAGTCTCTCAAATTTGTCTGCATGGCTGGCTTCAAACCAGGATCCTCAGATCCCAACATCCTGAGTAGCTAGGATTATATATGTGAGCCACCAGTATTCAGCTCCTTTTTGTCTTCTTAAAAGAGTCTAAAACAATAAACTCAAGAAACAATAGCTCAAATACTCATAATTAAATAAAATCAACAGTAGGAGGGGAAATTATGTAAAAGCTAAGCTATCAGTATTAATGATAGATCACAGAGTAATTAAACCACACACATAACTGGCCAACCATTCTTGAATAATACCAAGACTTGACCTTGGCCTTGGGTTTGTCACATCAAAGTGACTGAATCTCCACTCCCTGCATCTAGAACAGGATTTTATTTTAGTGTTTCTGGGGAATTTCTGATATTTTTACGGGTATCAGAGTGTTCCTGTTCTCATATTAGGAGGCTTCTCCTCCATGATGGAATGGTAAGAGTGGTGGACCAGAATCATCTTCTCCCTTCTCATCTCACCAGATTTCTGCCAAATGAGAAGAGGGATGGGTACAAAGGTTCCTCCCACTCTAGGATCCTCCATGTGTAGCTTCCCTGCAAGGCAACACAACAGAAAGAACAAGGGTGCTCTCCTCAATTTACAAGGCCAAAGCACCTCTGCCCAGAGGGGCATAAACAGAGAATGCATGCTTCTCTGTCCTGAGCTGCTTATTTGCCAAGGAAGAGCCTTTGTCTGTTGCCCTCACTGCTATAGAAGAAAAGTCCTTGCAGGAAGGAGCCCTGGAGGAAATCTTTGGTATTCTTCTCTAAGCCCAGCTGGGACCCAAGGATGAGTTGGCTTGAGACAAGGCTTTTGTTTCAGAAGATCAATGAAGCTGTTCTTGAACATCTTCGAAAGCAGAGAAGCCTCACCAAAGAACTTTTTCCACACATCAGCTATGACAAGGAAGGCTTTCCTGCAAAGGCTTCTCCCCCAAGCAACTCAAGAGTTCTTTGGGGGAGATGTCACAGATCACACATCTGTCAGGAATACTAAGTGCTCCATGCCCTAGAATTCCAGCACAAGGCCTGAGATGTGTTAAATTCCCATATCACATAGAAAGGTCTGGGGTCTCTAACTTTCCCAATGGTGACCTCTTTTTGCAGTGGAAGCCTGACCAAAAGTCCTCACCGTGAGAAAGCCCAGAGCTGGACTTGTGTCACAAGAGACATGATATCAGGGAGCACAAGAAGGTTCCAGCAATCTGTTCACTCCTGCCCCTAAGTGGACTGCATAAAACACTGTAAGGAAAATAGCCTCCCATGTGGCCCTCTTCAGCCCACTCTTTCCCTGCTTCTTAGAGGTCTTTCTGACCCCTAGCCTGGTCAATATGGGCATTTAGAACTGGCTCCTAAAAGAAAGACAGAAGGGACCAAGGCAGGAAACAGAGTTCAGACTCACAAGGTTTGCAGCCTGTGGCCAGGGGCACACAGGAACAGTGCTGTTCCCCTGAGTCTACAATAAGGCCTTTTGAGCCATACGAAGTCACCCAAGCAGGTGACCTAGTATAGTCCCTGTAGTGGCCACAATACAGCAGTCTGTATGACAGCAGTCTTCCAGGATCCAGCATGGCTGGCTGCTTGACTGTGGTAGCCACATGGCACCTACCTCTATCAGTCCAGTATCTACAATGCAGGGGACTGGGATGCTATGGCTGAAGACAGCTGCTAAGCAAGGCACTCTAGTAAGAGCAAAACCACCTCACCACTGTTACCCAGGCCAGGGTCCCACCTGCCCCATAGCCTAAGCCATGGGAAAGGAAGAAAGACCTCCAGCAAGGATCTGCAGTGACAGCCTAAGTGTCTTTGGTGAGATGCTGAGAAGAGGGAGCCATTTCCATCCAAACTAGATCTGAGTCAGCTCGACCATCACCTAATCACAAATTCAGCACGGGCTGATTCAGACCACAGTTTGAAGCTTTAACCAGAAAGATTCAAGCGGAGGATAATATTGAAATTCAAGGAAGGAGGGAAGTTTAGTGATAGTTTGGCAATGACCTGGGCTCAATTGCTAGCACCAAAAAGATAAAATATATATTGAAATCCACTGACCCTGGAATTTTTTATGTATTCTTTTTGGGGGGGTCCGGTTGTGGGGCCTAAACTCTGGGCCTGGGCGCTGTCCCTCAGCTCTTCAGCTCAAGACTAGCGCTCTACCACTTGAGCCACAGTGCCACTTCCGGCTTTTTTTCTTTTTGCTTAGCTGGTGCTGAAGAATAGAACTCAGGGCCTCATGCATGCAAGGCAAGTGCTCTACCACTGGGCCACCTTCCCAGCCCAAAATTGTTTATTTTTATATACGATTTGTTGGTCGTAGGGCTTGAACTCAGTGCCTGGGCACTGTCCTTGAGCTTTGTGGATCAAGGCTAGCACTCTACCACTTTGAGACACATTCTACTTCCAGTTTTCTGGTGGTTAATAGGCATTGAGCTCATGGATTTTCCTACCCAGGCTGGCTTTGAAGCGTGATCCTTGGATCTCAGCCTCCTGAGTAGCTGGGATTATAGGTGTGAGTCACCAGTGGCTGCCTTCTCATTTTTATTTTTTTGGTATGCATATGTGGCAGTACTGGAGCTTTAACTAGGCACTGTCTCTTGAGTTACAGTACCACTTCCAGTTTGTTTTTCTGTTCTTTTTGGTGGTTCACGGAAGTAAGAGACTCATGGACTTTCCTGCCTAGGCTGACTTCAAACCTTGATCCTCAGATCTCAACCTCCTGAGTAACTAGGATTATAGGCATGAGTCAAGGGCGTTAAGTTTTTTTTTTTTTTTTAATCTAAAGAGTAATCAAAACACCAAGATCTAAAAGCTATCCTGAGAAAGAATGTGGCTATAGATTTTGTACAAGAGGAACGGGGTGGTTAAGATTTTACTCTCTGCTCAGATGCCCAGCTGCCTGGAGAATTTCCAGAAGAGTGGAAAGAGGTGACCCTGTTGCAGTGGGCACCAGGAGGTAGACTTGCTTCCTCACCCCCCCAGACAATCACCCTACCCCCTACTCAGGAAATCCCTCCTCTAACCCCAGCTCCCCACTTTCCCCAGCTCCCACGCCCATTCTTCCAAACACTGGGGACCCAGGGAAGCTCTCCAAGGAGAATCTCATTGCAGCCCCTTTTCTAATCATAGATGCTCCCCAGGCAGTGAACCCGAGTGTCTATAGCTGCCTACTTGGAAGAGCAGATGGAGAGCGAGGTTCCCGCCGAGAACACCCAGAAGGCGGGATACAGAGCTTCGGTGAAGTCCACCTTGAATTTGTACAACAGGTGGACCTTCTCAGGAACAGCGAAGAAAATGACAAAGCCGTGGTCACAATTGAGAAGCACACCCACCCGCGTGGCCTTGGTAGAGGGCAGGGTTTTCTCCACATTATTGTGCCAGGCTGAGATCTTGTTGTTGAACCACTCTACGCACCAGGACTTGCTGTTGCGGCCAATCCGGCTTTCAGGGCCCTGTCGATCCATGCTGCCGTAGCAGACGCCTACCCCACAGAAGTTGTTCCTGCCCAGCTCCACCTCCCAGTAGTGAATCCCTTTCTTGTAGCAGTGCAGGCTCAGCACCTGAGAGCAGTAGGTGAACCTCTGGGGATGTGACCGGTAGTTCTGAGGTACATCAGCCACTGACGCTGTGGTAAAGCTATCTGTCAGTGCCACCTTGTTGTGGGCAGTGTTGTAGTCCAGGATAATTCTAGCAGAATCTGAGAAAGCATCAGCCCAAGAAATCAATTACAAGGGGCCCAAAATACTGTTACATGTAGGCCTTTCTCTAACTGGTTCTATACATTGGTTTTATCCAGCCATCTACCCACCCCACCTTCCATCCACCCATCTACCATTCTACCTACCCCACCATCCACCTACCCAGCCATCCATTCATCCACCCATCTATCTATCCTCCCATTTACCCCATCATCCATCCATCCATCCATCCATCCATCCATCCATCCATCCATCCATCCATCCATCCATCCATCCACCCACCCACCCACCCATCCACCCAGTCCTCAGCCAGACTACTCACACTCCTGCAGCTCAGGTCTAGACATGGCTAAGAAGGTGGCTAGCAACTTGTCCTTGATAGATGTGGAACTGGGCTGTATAGAGCTGGCTTTGGCTGTAGTTGTGAGAGGAAACAGAAAGTGTCATTCAGGACAAACTCACAGTGAACACCCAACTGTCCCTAGCCCACAATAGCTCACCATCTGAGACAGTTGGTTTCAAGTCCTCTGACTGTCCAGGAGCTCCAAAGGTGGGTAACTTGACAGTCGAGGCAGGGGCTAGAGTGAAGAGCAGAAACATGAGTTGGTGATGTGACATAGAGGGATGGAAATGGCCTCTCTTCCCTTCCAAGCTGAACAACGAAAGCCACGTCCATAAACACACACAGCCAAGGTGACTGGGGTTAGTTCAGATAAGACTATAGCTCTCTTATAGCGCATGCACTAGAAGCTCAGGCCTGCCTGTCTTGACAAAATCCAGTCCAAAGCAAAGACAACATAGCTGCCAACTGTTAGTTGTAGGCTTAGACAAGTCTCAAGAGCAAAAAAATGCATAAATACACAACTTACACGGTTTCTTGGACTTCTTTTCTTCTGAAAAGGAAAGTTTTCAGGATTATGATACTTTTAAGCACACCATGAGACTTTTAAAAAACTGTAATCATATTCATTCCAATGAACTTGACTCATGCAAATAAAGCTAAGAGGGGAGTTGGTAGCGTGGCTGAGTTGGTAGCACTAGCAAAAGTGTCATGTACAAGTTCAAGTCTCTGTCTCAGACCAAAAAAAAAAAAGCTAGGATGCTTTCACTTGAAAAACAGAAGGTAGGGCTGGGTAGGTGGCTCAATGGTAGAGTGCTTGCCTTGCATGCATGAGGCCCTGGGTTCGATTCCTCAGCACCACATAAGCAGAAAAACTTGGAAGTGGTGCTGTGGCCAAGTGGTAAACGCTAGCTTTGTGCTGAAGAACTGAGGGACAGCGCCCAGGCCCAGAGATCAGGCCCTGCAACCAACAAAAAAAAAAAGAAAAAGAAAAAAAGAAAGAAAGAAAAACAGAAGGGAAAAACAAACAACACTTATCTACAGTGATAGGAAGTATCTGTGGTTGAGGGGGGACCCAGGAGTAGTTAATAAGAAGTAGGAAGTAATGTTCTAGGGAAACAGAGTCTTTGTGTTGACTTGGGTAATTGTAACACAGATATCAATTGTCAAAACTTACCCAACTATGTATGTTTAAGAAAGAAACAAAATAGTCTTTACAACATATCCAAAGTGAGTCCTACCTACTCCAGAAACAGACCTGGGTGATCTGGTTTTAAGCCAGGCCGGGTAGAAAAAAGTTCTTTAGACTCTATATCCAAAATAAACAGTAAAATGCAAGGTTGAAGGCATGGCTCAAGTGATAGCATGCCAGCCTAGCAAGCACAAGAGATTAAGCTCAAACTCCACCACTGCCAAAAAAAAAGAAAGATATTTAGCTAGACATAGATACAGATATTTAGCTTCCCAGAGCGCGCTGGGAAGCACAGCACACACCTGTAACCACAGAACTCAGGTGGTTGAGGCAGAACAATTTCAAGTCCAAGGCCAATCTGAGCTCCAAAAATAGTAATCAAGTCAGGGACTGGTGGCTCACACCTATAATCCCACCTACTCAGGAGGCTGAGATCTGAGGATCAAGGTTCAAAGCCAACCCAGGCAGGAACGTCTGTGAGAGTCTTCCCTCCATTTAACTACCACAAAGCCAGAAGTGGAGCTGTGGCTTAAGTGTTAGAATGACAGCCTTGAGTGAAAAAACTAAGGGACAGCATCCAGCCCCCGAGTTCAAGCCCCAGGAGTAGCATAAAACAAAGCAAAACAAAAATAAATAAAGACTAACAGAGAATCCAGAGTATATGGAACTGAGTTGGACTAAAACATTGTTTCCATGTATGGTCCCCCAAACAGCTGCTGCCATGTTACCTGGGGAGCAGCAAGAAATGTAAAATCACCAGACATAAGAGTGTGAGTAAGTCTGGGAGCGAGGCCAGGCAAGCAGCGGTCTGTGGTGGGGTGAGACACTGAGTTACACTCCAGCATTCAAGTGGGCTGGAGACTCAGCTCCCTCTGCCCTTAAGCCCATCCCCTACCTCACCCATCATGCAGCGGGGGGCACTAGGCTCTTAGCCCTGTGCCTTCACGGTTCGTTTTCGGTAAGCTCTGCTTCCGCCGTAGCGTTTACTTCCACTCGGCCTCACGTGGCATAGTACCACTTCTTGCGGGAGTTCCCCAGCACCCTTCTCCTCACCTCTGCCCACTTCCAGGGGCCCAGCACCTGAGACCCAGGCCCCTCCCTGCTCATTAGGCCTCTTGGGAGTTTCCTATATGGTGACCAATCGGCCCTGGCCTCACCTCTTCCCCGACCCCAGCTGATTTATTTCAACATAGAGGAACCCGATTCATTCCTGAGTTTAACACATTGCTAGTGATTTTCCAGGGTGTCACTCTGTTAAGCAGGAGAGTCCCCCCACCCCCATCCCTACCCTCACGTGGAGTGGTGTCACAGGAGACCTAGGGCAGCAGGAAGGAAACCTCCTGGGTGAAGAGGACTCCAGAAGGATCCAGACTGAAAGTCCTTCCCCTTTCACACAAGTGCCCTTCACCATCTTCTAGCTTTTCCTGGCTTCTCTCCTCCAGCGACACCTGGGCATCTGAGCCCTTACGCTAGTCCATGGAGGGTCTGTGACTTGAGAGTTGTCTGCTGAAGACAAGCCAAACAAGCAACAACAGAGAAAAGCAAGACAACACTTCTCTCCCTTCCACTATCCACTGACCTCCCATACTGACTTGAGGAAGCAATCAGGGTAACATAATGGTGGATCTATAGCTTGGAAAGTGCTCTCACGAGTATCCGTAGGAAATTAAACACATACACACGCCAATACCACCATCACCACCACCATCATGACCATCACCATCACCACCACCACCACCACCATCATCATATTGGTTTCAATATCATTACTGCTAAAATGTGGACAGTTGAGGAAACAGGATCATTTTTCAACCCAACCCAAGATCACACCCACTGAGGGAAAACATTGACACTTTCACGGCAGCAGAGTGGGGGACAAAGAATTGTATGAAAATCTCACCCCTTTTATGGATAAACCAATAAGCTGAGCCGGGCGCCAGTGGCTCACACCTGTAATCCTAGTTACTCAGGAGGCTGAGATCTGAGGATCATGGTTCAAAGCCAGCTGGGCAGGAAAGTCCGTGGGACTCTTATCTCTAATAAACCACCAGAAAACCGGAAGTGGCACTGTGGCTCAAGTGGTAGAGTGCTACCCTTGTGCTGAAGAGCTGAGGGACAGCTCCCAGGCCCAGAGTTCAAGCCCCATGACTGACAAAAAATAAATAAATAAAAACCAATAAGCTGTGCATGGGTGGTATTAATTTTTCATGAAGTGGGGATTAGGAAAAAACTGGCTCAGTGGGAGGAGGAGGAGGAGGCAATAATGAATCAGGGTGGGGAAAATTGGGAGAACAGACACCATTCCAGGTCAGACAAGCTGCTGAGACCCGTGAGAGACGTGGCCTCCTTGCATAGAGACCACAGTATAGCTCCTCCACACCAGACTCCAGTTCAGCAAATGAGACTCTACCACACATCACCCTTGGTGATCCTGCCTTTCCAGATGTCCCTGTTACCAAATATGGTGGACAAGTGCCCCTTCCTGCCCCAGTGGAGCTCCTGCTTTACAAAGTCCACACCAGACTTCTCCAGAGATCCAGGTCCCTGTACACTGTGCCTGTTTGATCCCTGTGAGGTGTCAGTCAAAGCACCTGCCAATGCATTGGGGGTGAGGTGGTTGGTTACTTACGTGGAGTCTTCTTCATGGGGCGTGAGGGTTTGCTTGAAGATTCTGTGCCACAGTCTCCTGAGTCACCTGTGACAAAAAAACAAAAACAATCCACTGTATGTGGCTCTTCTCCGCTGACTCAGAAGCTGGCTTTGTTGTGCAGTGGACAGAAGGGGTAAAATGCTTTTATTGATAGTTATTTCCACTTGTTTCCCCTTCTGATCATTTCAAGAGATACAAAAGATAAAAGAACAAGCTCTCAGCCAGGCGCTGGTGGCTCACACCTGTAATCCTAGCTACTCAGGAGGCTGAGATCTGAGGATCATGGTTCAATGCCAGCCCTGGCAGGAAAGTCCATGAGACTCTTATCTCCAATAAACGACCAGAAAACCAGACGTGGCTCTGTGGCTCAATTGGTAGAGCACTAGCCTTGCGCTGAAGAGCTCAGGGACAGCACCCAGGTCAAGAGTTTAAGCTGGGAGCTAGGTCTGGGAGCTGGGTATACTGCTCATACCTGGAATCTCAGCAACTCAGGAAACTGTGATCTAAGCTGTGATTGGTTTAAGGCCAACAAGGTCAGGAAAATCAGGTGAGGATTTTTTTTTTTTTTTTTTTGGTCAGTCATGAGGCTTGAACTAGGCCTGAGCACTGTCCCTGAGCTATTTTGTTCAAGGCTAACACTCTACTACTTTGAGCCACAGTGCCACTTCTGGTTTTCTGGTCTCACAGACTTTCTTACCCAGGCTGACTTTGAACTATAGTCCTCAGATCTCAGCCTTTTAAGTACTTAGGATTAAAGGTGTGATCCACCAGCACCCAGTAAGGCAAGAATCTAATCTCTAATTGGCCAGCAAAGATTCTGAAGTGGCCAAGTGCCAGTGGTTCATGACTAGCTACTCAGGAAGCTGAGGAAAGTCTGTGAGACTCATGTCCAATTAACCACCAAAAAGCTGGAAATAGAGCTGTAGCTCAAGTGGTATCATGCTAGCCTTGATTTTAAAAAGGCTCAGGGACAGCACCCAGGTCTTGAGTTCAGGCCCCAGGCCTGAAACTCACACACAAAATCCTGAAATGGAGGTGTGGCTCAAGCGGCAGAGCACCCTCCTTGAGCGAGAAAGCCAAATTAGATTGTGAGGCCCTGAGTTCAAGTACCGGCATGCATGCATGTGTGGGCGTGTGCATGCGCGTGCGCTCGCGCCCCCCCCCACACACACATCTTTTTGGAGAGCATCCTAGTCATAGGATGCAGCAGAGACCCCTCTGCTGGGGAACGGCTAGGCCCTGTGCTCTGCTGCCCCCTCCTCCAGCCAAATGCAATGAGAAGACCCACCCAGTTTTAGGGCACTTCCTTGGACAGCATGGTGTTGCTGTTACCTGAGTTGCATGGCTCCTCGGGCTTCTTCTCATGGATCTGCCTGAGGATCCGCCTCAGCTCGTTCTTGAGCTCCAGGGTGCTCTGGTAGACCCCCTTCATGAGCTCATGATCCAGCTCCACTTTGGGGATATAGACTGGCTTCGATGAGGCTCCTTGCAGTTTTGCTGCTTTCTGGAACAAGCCCAGAGGTTAAGGACAGGCAGCTGGAGGGAAGCCAGGCCTGGGCTTGGTCCTTACTACTCTGAGGCTACAAGTGCTGACTAAGTTTACCCATCCTGTTTAAACCACAGGACCAAAGCTGCCAGGGGATAAAGTGCCCCCAGGCTCCTTATGGAATAGGCAAGAGGAAGTAGGTAAAGAGGGACAGAGCTGAGTGAGACAAGCACTTCGGAAAGACCTGCACCTGAGCTGTGGTGCCCCCCAGCAGTGTCTACTGTATCTGTGGAGTGACGTGCCTAGCTATGCTCAGCCCAGAGCACAACCAGGGGCTGTTGGCAAGATGTAAGTCTGCCAGCCAATGTCAGGTCTGGGCACCAAGGACCTTGAAAGCCATGCTAAGGGGCATGAAGGCAAAAAGCACAGGGGACAACACTTAACCAGGGGCCATGGGGAAGAAGGATGGGAGAGCGTAAAGGCCTGCATAGTTTGAGCACCAGCCTTGAGTGAAAAAGCTAAGCAAGGGCCTGAGATCCTGAGTTCAAGTCCCAGGACCCGCATACAGTAAATATTTTTTTTAAAAAAGCAAGATGAGCTGGAAGGATGGCTCAAGAGGCAGTGTTTGTTACAATGCCCCGAGAAAGAGAGAGAGAGAGAGAGAGAGAGAGAGAGAGAAAGAATATTTTGGAGCCAGGAGCCAATGGCTCACACCTGTAATCTAGCTACTCAGGAAGCTAAGATCTGAAGATCACGGTTCAAAATTAGTCCAAGAAGGAAAATATGTGAGACTCTTATTTCCAATTAACTACCAAAAAGCTAAGAAGTGAAATTATAGCAAAAGGGGTAAAGCACAAAAATTCAGGGAGCATGCCCAGGACCTGAGTTCAAGCACAAGGACAGGCAGGGGGGGGGGGGGGGGGAATTGTGATGCTGGGCAGAAAGAACATTCAGGGGCATCTCATCAGAACCCACCTCCAGAAACTCATACTCCTCCCACTTGGCCAGGCTTTGCTCGATATCACTCTTTAGGCTCTGGATCTCACTCCTCTTCTTGAGCAGGATCTGGTAAATGCTGTCGTACTTGGAGCTGACCCTCATCTCCTCTTCCTTTATCTTGCAGATGGAGTTGGTCTCGGAGGCATCAATAAGCGCCTTTATTTCCAGGTATTCTTGTCTCACCTGCTCCACCTTCCTGTTTGCAACATCCTAGAAAGGCCGAGGTGTCAGAAGGGTGGACTGCTATGGCTACGCCCCACCCCCACCCCGGCCCACCCCCCTGTGAGTGCAGTGGGAGGCCTCTGGGGAATGTGCCTGCTGCACTTGGCCATGACTAGTCCATGTGCAGGTTTCCACACCCCACGACTGGAATCCTACTTCTGTTCTCTAGAGACATTCTTGCACACCTGCCCTAGGACACACACAAGAATGGGCACAAGCAGCATTGTTTGAAACAGCAAAACCAAGACAGGCATAGGGCTTGACTGCTGTAGGCCTAGCTAATCAGGAGGCTGAGACCGGAAGAGCACTGGAACCCAGGAGTTTGGAAGCCAGACTGGGCAATATCGTGAGACCATCTCAAAAACAAAGACAAAACAAACCCCACAAACTCTCATGATGGCATATTAAATTAGTCATACAATTTAATGAAAACTATGCATGGATAAATCTCCATGGAAAAAAGCAACTTGTAGAAGCCATACAGAATGATGCACTTTAAAGAAGCTTAGAAACAGAGAGTGGTGTTTACTGCTAAGGATCGTTATATTTACAAATATAAAGAAATGCCTGGAAAAGCTGGGACCTAGTGGCTCACACCTGTAATTCAAGCTACAAAGGAGACTGAGATCTAAGGACTGAGTTTCAAAGCCAGCCCGGGCAGAAAAGTCTGTGAGACTCCAATTAACCAGCAAAATGCAGGACTAGAGGTATGGCTCAATTTTGTAGAGCACCAACTAGGAGCAAGAAGCAAAGTGAGAGTTTGAGGCTCTGAATTCAAGCTTTGATATCAAGATGCATACACACACACACACACACACACACACACACACGCACGCACGCGCGCGCGCGCACACACACACACACACGCCTAGGAATTAATGAACTTACTTAAGGTAGTGGTTACTTCTGGCCGAGAGAAAGAGAGAGATGATAATGAGAAGAAAAGAGGAGCTTCTACACCAGGGGTATGGTATTTTGTTTCTTAAAATAGAAGCAGAAGCAGTCGTGTGTGAGTGTGAGTGTGTGTGTGTGTGTGTGTGTGTGTGTACGTGCTTGAATTCAGGGATTCCACTCTCCCTTGGTATTTTAGCTCAAGGCTAGCACTCTACCACTTGAGCCACAGCTGCACTTCTGGCTTTTTGCTGGTTAATTGGAGATAAGAGTTTCACAGATTTTTTTCCCCCAGGCTGGCTTCAAACCATGATTTTTAGATCTCGGCCTCCTGAGTAGTTAGGATTATAGGTGCAAACTACTAGTACCTGGCTTCAATTACTTCTTTATCTAACCCTTTACTTTGCTAACCCTAATGTGACCACCAATATCCTCAGTGTTCATCCTGTCCTTTTTCCTTTAGTACGAGAGCACCCTCAAGAACCCAGTGGGTACCTCGTGGCCTGGACTACATTCCCCAGACTCCCCTGCTGCTAGGCTTGGCCTGTTGACCTAACTTCTTCTAATGAGCAGAAGTAACAGGTTCAATCCATGTCATTTGCTTAAAAGGAAGTTGCTTAGAGTTCTGTTTCCTCCCTGTTTACCTTTCCAAAAGCTTGAACAAACAAGTAATGATGACCCAGGGAGGAATCCCATAACAGCCATTTTTGCCCTGCAGATGAACCTGGCACACCTTCTATTAGATAAACAAACTCATTAAGTCAGTTAACCAAGCCCATAGTGCTGGCCACTGAGGCACAGACTCTTTCAGAACTGATCATGGACATGTTCACTCTTGAGATAAACCAGGTTCACTCCCGTTGGGCAAGGCCCAAGGCTACATATAAACCCTTTCTTCCTGCCTTTGGTGTGCAGAATCCTCTTATTCTGTTGCTGCCAAGACCTGCTGCTGTCTACAAGTCCCTAACAGATTATACTTTGTGCACACCTCTTTCTGTGGTCTTTTGGTACTTCCTGCTTTTGGTGGCTGGTTCTCACCAACTAGGCCTTGTGGAATAAGAGGACAGTAAGAAGAAAGGGTTCAGCTAGGTGTTGGTGGCAGATAGCTGTAATTCTAGCTACTAGGAGGCTCACATCTGAGGATTAAGGTTCCAAGGCAGCCTGGGCAAGAGAGTCTATGAGATTGAGATTTTCTTTAAATCTCCAGTTAACCAGCAAAACAAGCCAGAAGTGGAGCTATGACTCAAGCAGTACAATGTTAGCCTTGAGGGGGAAAAAAGAAAAAAGCTAAGGGGCAGCATCCAGGCCCTAAGTTCAAGTCCTAGTATCAGTACAATATATATATATATCTTATTTATCAGCTACTGTTCTACAATTGCTCCTTCCAGTATTCTTTCCTACTTCCTGCCATGGGGTCAAGCTGGCTCACCAAAGATAGGCCACATTCCAGAGCCTGTGAGCATGACCTTGATTAAAATAAGGGCATCTGCAGATGTAAATAACTAAGGGTCTGGAGACCCCCCCCCCCCCAGATAACCCACATGAGGTGACCTGGGTCCTTATTACAGAGGGAAGAGAAAGCACAAAGGAAGAATGGCTAGCCATGCAGATACTAGGCCAATTGGAGTAGTGTAGACACAAGCCTAAGCTACAGGACAGGAAGAGGATGGGAAAGACTCTCCCTAGGGGCTTCAGGGGGAACAAGGTCCTGCTAACATTTTGATGTTGGACTTTTGGTCTCCATAACTGTGAATGTTTTTCTCCTCATTGTAAACCATTCACAGCCTATGTCAAGTTATTACTGCAGCCACAGTAAACACTACACTTCCTTTTTATGAACAGGCATGACCCTAGAGGTATGTACTCTGGTTTCCTGTTTTTCTCCCACTTCATAGTATAATGACTTTTCTATGCTCCTATCTCTTTTTTTCCCTCAGTTCTGAGGTTTGAACCATGGGCATGCTTGGTGTCCTATCATTTGAGCCACACCTCCAGCCCTTTTGTATTTTGTTCTAATGTTTATCTACAGCCTCAATAACTTCACATAGACTGGCCTCCAACTCTCAATCTTTCTAACTCTGCCTCCCTTAGCAGCTGGGATGACAAATGTGTGCTACTATGCAGGCTCTTTGCTACTACATTTTAGTCTTCATTTTTAACAACTCCCTAGGGATGGGAGAGGGAATTGTTTTGGGTTTTGGAATTTTTTTTTTTGGGGGGGGGGGGGCGTGGAGGTGGGGATTGAAGTCTGAACTGGAGATTTCATCCAGGTCACCTGAATCACATCCCCAGCCTTGGCAGTTTTCAAGCTGGGTTTATGAAGAATCTTGCTTGGGTACATCGCTTTTGGCATGCTTGGCCGGGACAACATTTAATTCAGTCACTGTGAATGCAGCCGGAACCCACGTTCCAAGACCTGCCTTGCACACAGAAGCCAAAGGGAACCCGCAGGACTAGCCTGGGGGAGGGATGGGGCTCACCCGCACACCCTGCTGCTTGGCTCTCACATCCTCCAGCGCTTTCGATGCCCCGTTGAAGTGACTGTGCATGATGGTTAGTTTATGCTTCAGTTTGTTCTGCAGAGGAAACAAACAAGGGTAAGGTAAACCCCCTAGAGCCCATCCACCCTCCATCCGCAGTCACACTCTGCACTGAAGTCTGGCTACTCCTGTGCTCCCACATTTTGTCTGTCTGGAACTTGTTTGTCTGTCTTTCTGTCTCTCTGTCTCTGTCTCTCTCTGATGGTAGTAGCACTTGAACTTAGGGCCAGGGTGCTCTTACCATTTTTGCTCAAGGATGGCCACTTGGGGCACAGACCCACTTCTAGCATTGCTGGTGGCTAACTGGAGAAAAGTCTCTAAAATTTGTCTGCATGTGCTGGCTTCAAACCAGGTTCCTCAGATCTCAGCCTACTGAGTAGCTAGGATTACAGTTGTGAGCCAGCAACACCTGGCTCCCTAGAGCTTCTTAAAGCTTGTCATACATGCTTATTCCCTGCAATTCTTTAAGGGGGGGACAGGGCAGAAAAGACTTTAGGACAGAGAGAGGAAGTTCCAAGTCCCAATTCCCAACTGACTCAGTTTCCTTGGCCATGAATTAGATAGGACTGTTCCCACTTGCAGGGCTCTCAGGAGGACCAATGAAAACAAGGTGAGTGTTCAGAACCCTGCCTGGGTCTTTGTAAGGTCAGATGAAATGCTAGCTTCTATAATTGGAGATTTCTTCACTACAGCTCACTCAACAGCTGATGAAATTGAGCCAAGGGCGGCAGCAAGTGGCCAGGCTACATGGCCATAGAAGCAGCTACAGCTGCTTCGGCAGTGGCCTGTCATGCAAACATGCCTACCACAAACCTGCCACTGCAAGCAGTTCAAAAAGCAGGCAAGAGGGGGGCTGGGAAGGAGGCTCAGTGGTAGAGTGCTTGCCTCGCATGCCTGAGGCCCTGGGTTCGATTCCTCAGCACCACATAAGCAGAAAAAAAAAAAAAAAGCAGGCAAGATGTCTAAGAAAAGCTACTAAAAGATGTTTTTTTAAAAAACCAAAACAAAGGATAAAAGAAAAAGCTCTCAGCCAGGCGCTGGTGGCTCATGCCTATAATCCTAGCTATTCAGGAGGCTGAGATCTGAGGATCGCGGTTCAAAGCCAGCCCAGGCAGGAAAGTCCGTGAAACTCTTATCTCCAATAAACCACCAGAAAACGGGAAGTGGCACTGTAGCTCAAGTGGTAGAGTGCTAGCCTTGAGCTGAAGAGCTGAGGGACAGCGCTCAGGCCCAGAGTTCAAGTCCCACGACTGACAAAAAAACAACAACAACCAAAACTGCTGAAAACCAGGTGCCGGTGACTCATGCCTGTCATCCTAGCTACTCAGGAGGCTGAGATCTGAATATCATGGTTCAAAGCCAGCCCAGGCAAGAAAGTCCACGAGGCTCTTTTTTTTTTTTTTGGGGTCCGGTCGTGGGGCCTGAACTCTGGGCCTGGGTGCTATCCCTCAGCTCTTCAGCTCAAGGCTAGCGCTCTACCACTTGAGCCACAGCGCCACTTCTGGCTTTTTTCTTTTTGCTTATTTGGTGCTGAGGAATCGAACCCGGGGCCTCATGCATGCAAGGCAAGCGCTCTACCACTGAGCCACCTTCCCAGCCCTTCCACAAGGCTCTTATCTCCAGTAAACCACCAGAAGAGCACTAGCCTTGAGCTGAAATGCTCAGGGATAACACCCAGGCCTCATGACCAACAACAACAACAATTAAAAAAAAAAAAAAAACCTGCTGAGTACAAATGACTCATGCTTGTAATCCTTGCTATTCAGGTGGCTGAGATCTGAGGACTGCAGTTCAAAGCCAGTCCAGGCAGGAATGTCTATGAGACTCTCATTTCCAGTTAAGGAGCAAAAAAGCTAGAAGTGGAGCTATGGCTCAAGTGGAAGAGTACCAATCTTGGGAGAGGAGACACATACATCAAAAAGACATGAAAAAGCTAGTAAAGCAGAGGACACTAAGGCCAGATTCTGAAGAAGAGGACTCAGAAAGAAACAAACCCCATATCTGGGATTGTTCTCTCAAGTGGCCCCTGCCCATCCCAGGAGGAAGCTGCAGGAAACTGCCAGCCTCAGGAAGGCAGAGGGACAAAATCCACAGTCCAAGCTGTACTTCACACCCAGGGCTAGCAAAATGGAGGAGCCAGCCAGCCACAGGGCTGCAGCCCAGATGCAAATCCCTTCAATTGCTAAAACTGAGCTAAGCTACTTCAGAATTCTTTGCCTCCTAGCCATGCCCAGAAACAAAGGCATAAGGAGAGACATGTGCATGTGCATGAAGAAAGTCAAGAGCCTCATATTATTCCTATATGCTTTTACATTAATACCTGAGTCTCTTTTGTACCTGCATAGGTGAAATGCTGGGACTCAGAGATGGGAAGGAACAGCCACGGCCACTACCATATTAACTGCCATGATGACATGTGTAATTGTATGTATTGTTTCAGCTCTCAACAAAATAGGAACAAGACTATTAGCCAGACAACAGTGACTCATGACAGTAGCTCATGCCTGTAATCCTAGCTACTTCAGGAGGCTGAGATCTGAGAATTGTAATTCACAGCCAGCCTGAGCAGACAAATCCAAGAGTCTCATCTCTAATTAACCACCCAGATGCCAGAGTGGAGGTGTGGCTTAAAGTGGTAGAGTGTCAGCCTTGAGCAAAAGAGCCAAGTAAGAGTGAGCAGCCTTGAGTTCAAGCTCCAGTACACACACACACACACACACACACACACACACACACACACACACACACACACACACAGAACAAGACTATGGAGTTGAAATTACCCAATCTATACAGACAATGACACTGAGGCACAGGAAAATTAAGCCATTTGTCCAAGATGGCATTGCTATTAACTGGCCCAGCTATGGTTCTGGTATAAAAATGATAAACACGGCCCGGTGCTGGTGGCCCATACCTGCAATCCTAGCTACTCAGGAGGCTGAGATTTAAGGATCATGGTTCAAAACCAGTCCAGGCAGGAGTGTCTGACAGACTCTTATCTCTAATGAACCACCAGAAAACAGTAAGTAGAGCTGTGATTCAAAATGACAGAATGTTAGCCTTGCGCCTAAGAGCTGAGGGAGAGCATCCAAGCCCTGATTTCAAGCCCTATGACCAAAAAAAAAGTTACAGACATGACCAAACTGAGCATGCTGGTAATTCCCAGGGGTGATTACCAGCTTTCTGTACAGAGATTTGGGGCTGAACCTGACCTTGAATCAGTAACAATCTCATTTGTCAAGGTTGGAAGCGGGCATCAAGGCCATATAAACTCAACCAGAAAGTCACTAACAAGGTTTCAGACTCCACCTCTGGGTCACTGCCTTTCACCCAGCTTATCTCAGATACTGCCGGGGCCAAAGGCCAAACCAAGGCAGGCAGATCTGGCCTGGTAGAACTGGAAGAGACATGGAGGCCACCAGGAAGTGCAGAGTTTCCATGAGCTGCTCTTAGCACTAGAGCCCTACATTGTGAAATATTTTATTTACAATGAGTTAAACAATAGTCTACTCTTCATGGACAGGGCCCCATACAACTCGAGGGAAGCAGAATAGGAACCCTAATACCCACAAAGCCCCCCTAAATCAAGGGCAAACAACTTTTGAAAATGAGTTAAGATTGCCACAGGCCAAGGACTTGGATGCTCTGCATTGGAGGCTGCAGAGCCCTGAGTCTGCGCTGCCCCCCCCCCAGGCTAGCAGCCCAGATATCCATGCTTGGGGCACTGCCCAGTAGGGGACTGGCAGTGAAGTAGCATGAGCAGCAGCCAGGCTGAAAGGAGAGCCATGGGGGCTGGTTTGGTGAGGGATTCTTGCTACAAGAATTAAAAAGCTAAGCTGGGCATGTAGCCTTGAGCGTAAAAGCTCAGGGACAGCACTTAGGCCCTGAGTTCAAGCCCCAGGACAGGCACAAAACAGAGGGGGGAAAAAAAGCTGAGTTGGATGGTACACAGAGTTGGATGGGATTCCAGCTGGGGACTGGCTCTAGCCAGGCTAAGAAGGCCCCTCCTGCCTGCTTGCTTTCGCCTCTATGGATAAGGGCTTCTAATAGTGCTTGTCTTTGGGAGCCAGGTTGCCAGGCTTGAGGACCAGAAATGGAGCATCCATACTAAACGTTTTTTGTTTCTGGTTTTGGTTTTGTTTGTCAGTCATGGGGCTTGAACTCTGGGCCTGGGCACCGTCCCTTAACTCTTCAGCTCAAGGCAAGCACCCTACCATTTGAACCACAGAACCACTTGTGGTTTTCTGGTGGTTTATTGGAGATAAGAATCTCACGGACCTTCTTGCCTAGGCTGGCTTTGAACTGCAATCGTCAGATCTCAGCTTCTTGAGTAGCTAGGATTATAGGTGTGAGCCATCGGTGCCTAGCCTAAATGTGTTTTTATAGACTGCCTCATTTCCCCCTCCCAATAACCTTCTGAGTTCACTTTTTACCATTTCCCAGATGAGAAGGCAAGTTGGATTCAAACTCAGATCTTAGGACCACTAGGGTGGGATTCCTGTAAGCAGCCATATCCTTTGCCAATAGACCTGGCCTAAGCAGCAATTCCTACCAGGCTTATCTCCCCAGACCCTTCCAGTCACCTTAGGAGGGAGGGGGGGGAGGGGAGGGGAGGAGGGGAGGGGAGGGGAGGGGAGGGGAGAGGAGAGGAGGGGAGGGGAGAGGAGAGGAGGGGAGGGGAGGGGAGAGGAGAGGAGGGGAGGGGAGAGGAGAGGAGGGGAGGGGAGGGGAGAGGAGAGGAGGGGAGGGGAGAGGAGGAGGAGGGGAGGGGAGGGGAGGGGAGGGGAGGGGAGGGGAGGGGAGAGGAAGGGAGGGGAGGGGAGAGGAAGGGAAGGGAAGGGAAGGGAAGGGAGAGAGGGATCCTAATAATTCTACTTGGCAGAAGTTGAGGCTCCAAGATCTGCAGTGACTTGTCCTAAGCCACAGAGCTCTACTAGGGAAAAGTAGGGTTCTTGGCCCCCAAAGCCAGGCAGATTTCTTTCCTGGAAGAGGTGGAGACTGAGCGATCTATAACCAAATCACTTATACCACAAAGGTCAACTTGAAGGGGACACCTTAAGGTCCAGCTGTTGAGGCTCAGGGGGAAAAAGTCCTAAGGAGCCCAGAGAGATGACAAGGCCAGGCAAAGTCCATGGCCAGGGCAGGACAAAGCAAGGCCTGTGCCCTGGTCCTGGCACCACAGCCGACTTCACCAACATGGCCCAGGCTTGTGTCTCCTCTGACCACACGGGGACAGAGAGCCAGGAATTCAGGCCCTTCCTTGGAGCTTACACCGTTAGAACAAAAGTTTGGTCACATGCTCTCAGCCTCTGCTTTGAATCCACAAAGCCATGACCCCCTAAACCACTAAGAATATCACAGGCCTCCAAGAGTCCTAGGACCCCCATCTTGTCCCGCCTCCTCCTGCCTTTACCCATGAGGACCCGGGTCCAGGGGCAAAATCCAAGTCACACTCAAGGACAAAGGCCACTATGGTGCCTCACACTATGTTGTATGACCCTGTGGCTCACATCCGGGGATTGCTCATCCTCCCTACCCCACTACACCTCTCCATGCCCTCAGGCCTCAGAGACTGTCCAGTGCGCAGGACTCTAGAGATCTGAATTGAAGTCCTGTCCACTGGAAGACCCAGAAACAACAAAACATGAGTCAAAGACACTGAACTAACCCCTGACTGCCATTTGCTGTGCGGAGTTCACTTCTCCACCTCAGGTGTCTGAGACTGGGGCATGAAATGAATCACACATAGCTGCCAGGGTCCAGCTGGGATGTGACCGGGGAAACAGAGGTGACCTCTGAAGTTGCTATTTGATCTTCAAAACCCAACTGAACATCTTCAGATGAGCACAGGCTTGGGGGGGAGGAGGGGACACCACCCTGCCTGTGTGTCTTCAGGTGTCCCCTCTGTAAAATGGGGGTGGAAGTGGGGGGCGAGGGGGCACAGTTAGATGAAGGCTTTATAATCTCCCTGTTCAGCCAAGAAGGTCCACTCTGTGGCACCTATATATCCCCCAATATGGCCTGCAGCCCAGACGACTGGGCCTATCTTAGATTCCCCAGGGACCCTCCTGGTGTGCCCCCTCACCCTCCTCCATGGCCTCCTCCTCCACCCCCCAAGGCCCTCTGCACACACACACACACACACACACACACACACACAGAGCCAGGCCCTACCTCCAGGTCAGCACTGGCCTGGCTCAGGGGCGCCAGGGTGCAGGTCTTGTGCTCCACGAGGCAGATGTGACAGATGCACTCGCCATGCTCGGGGCAAAAGAACTCCCGCAGGCGGTTGTGCTGGGGACACTTGCGCCGGAGGAGGTCGGGGATGGGCGGCTGCAGGGGGTGGTCGCGGAAGGCGGGGCTGTCGAGGTGCGGGCGCAGGTGCTCGGGGCAGAAGGAGGCCATGCACACCAGGCAGGTCTTCACGGCCGCCTCCTGCAGGCAGTGGTCGCAGGCCACCGGGGCGGCGGGGCTGGCGGGCGCCGCGCGGCCGGGCGGCGTCCAGTCGGCGGCGGCGGCGGTGGCGAGGGCGCGGCCCGGCTCCGTCTGCAGGAACTGCTCCACCAGGTTGCACAGCACCGTGTTCTTCTGCAGCTGCGGGCGCGCCGGGTAGACGGCGCGGCACTGCGGGCAGCGGAACGGCGCGCCCGCGCCCGACCACGAGTCGCGCAGGCACGACCCGCAGAAGTTGTGGCCGCACGGCGTGGTGACCGGCTCCCGGAACAGCTCCAGGCAGATGCAGCACGACAGCTCCTCGGCCAGCGGGGACAGCTCGGCCATGGCGCTCGCGGGGCCGACGGGACCGACGGGACGGACGGACGGACGGGACAGACGGGACGCGACGCGCGATCCTGCGACCCGACCCTCGCCCGGCCGCCGAAGAAACGAAACTGAGCCGGGGAAGGGGCGGCGCCCTGGGGTTTCAGGAAGTCACGTGGGGGGGAGGGCGCCCGGGAGGGGTGGGGCCAGCGCTGGGGTCCCCGTTGGGGAGCCCCCAGGTCGTAACCCCGAGGGGAGGGGAAGGAGGTCTCCTGCCGGGTGAGGGTGGGGTGCAGTGGGGCTCCCAGCATCTTCACGACAACACCCCCCCACGCCAGGGGCTGTTTGGGGGTGCACTGAGGCGGGAAGTGGGGAGCACCCCACTTCCAGCTGTCGGGTCTGTGTGACTTCCACGCAACTCCCCATTCTCCAGCACTCCCCCCCCCCCCCCCCCCGCCCCCAGGGCCGGTCTGTCTTCCAGGAAAACAAAGTGAACGACTGTAGGTGTGTGGAGGGGTGGTGCACGCCTGTAATCCCAGCCTGGGCTGGAGGATGAAGAGTTTCTAGCAATCTATGAGGCTACGCAGAGTGTTTTCTTTTCTTTTCTTTTCTTTTTTTTTTGGGTCCGGTCGTGGGGCCTGAACTCGGCCTGGGCGTTGTCCAACCCTCAGCTCTTCAGCTCAAGGCTAGCACCCTGAGCCACAGCCCCACTTCTGGCTTTTTTTTTTTTTTTTCCTTTTTGCTTATGTGGTGCTGAGGAATCGAACCCAGGGCCTCAGGCATGCAAGGCAAGCGCTCTACCACTGAGCCACGCAGAGTGTTTTCTAAGCCACCCTGGACTATGCGAGAGAGACTGCGGTTTCAAAAAGCCAACACCAAAATAAACAAAAGGATAATACGGTGTGACGGCTAAGAGCTCTTATTGCCTTCTTTCTTTATCGTTTCTTCAATCCTTTCTTCCTCCTCTCCCATTCCTGCCTCTTGACATCCAGACACACAAGTCCCCAAGACCACAGCTCAAGTCACACACTCGGATTTACACTGCGTTATTTCATTCACTCCATTCATGCTTTCTAAACATGATTCCCAGATGGGCACCTGACACCGGTAATCCTAGCTCTTCAGGAGGCTGAGATCTGAGGATTGCTGTTCAAAGCCTAGCCCTGCCATTGGGACAGTTAACCAGCCAAAAGCCAGAAGTAGAGGAATGACTCAAGTGGTAGAGTGCCAGCCATAAGTGAAAAAAAAAAAAAAAAACTAACAGCACCCAGGCCCTGAGTTCAAACCCCAGTATACCCTAGTATACACACACACACACACACACACACCCCTTTTAAACCCTGCAAGACAATGTCATGCCAGTTTCACAAAGCCAGGCATTCTAACTGCTGGTTCCCATAATTCCTGTCCTGTAGGTGCCCGTCCCCCAAGAAGCCAACTTGTGAGTAGTAATCTCATTTAATTCTCACACGAGCTCTTTGAGGTAGGTTAAACTTCTCACATGAGAAATCAAGGTTTACAGAAAGTAAATAACTTGCTAAATAACAGTCATTGGCCACCAGTCCATCTGATTCCCGAGGCCAAATATTTTCTACTATCAAATACTGCCTCCCCAGGCAGGAGCAGGGTTGTTTCCAGAAAATAAACATAAAATCAACCTGTCAACTGTCAACTAATTATCCTGGGTGCGGTTGTGTGGGTGACTCAGCCCAGAATGTGGAATTCTCTTTCCAGGGCAAGAAAAGATGATTAAGCTGGTTGCCCATGGCTCACTCCTATAATCCTAGACACTCAGGAAGCTGAGATCTGGAAATCACAGTTTGAAGCCAACCCAGGCAGATACATCTGTGACTTTTTTTTCCCCCTTTTGCTCCTTCCTTCCTTCCCTCCTTCCTTCCTTCCATCATTCCTTCCTTCCTTCTTTCTTTTCTCTTTCTTTTTCTTTTTTTGTGTGGGTACTGAAGCTTGAACGCAAAGCTATGGTGTTCTCCCTTAGCTTTGTCCTGCAAAAGGTACAGGTTCCTCATTTACAAAACAGGAACACCAATAATACCCTGTGCATGGGTATTGTGTGAAAACCAGCCAAAGCATGAGGTGAAGTAGGGCACCAGAAGTGTTGACTTTTTTCTTTTCCATATCCAGTACTGGCCCTTGAACCCAGAGTCTCTCTGAGAGAGACCTTTTCCACTCAGGGTTGGTGCTCTACCACATGAGCTATAACTCCACTTTTCTCTAGTGTTTAATTGGAGAGTCTCACAGACTTTTCCTGCCCTGACTGGCTTCAAAACTCAATCCTCAGATCTCAGCTTCCTGAGTGCCCAGCCAAAAGTTGAGCCTTTCAATGGACACAAGGAAGGCTGGACCTGTCCCTGGCCTGGTGGGTGTGGATGTTTACCATCAGTAACTGCAGTAGAACAATGTCAAGTCATGTGGGACCCAGTGAGTCACCGGGAAGAATTGCTTCCTCCAGCAGATGGCTAGCAATCCTAACCAGATTCCCACTGTGTTATCTGGTGGTTGGCAAAACCTGGTGGCGTGATAATACTCATTTACCTACAAATATAATTTGCCTATTATTTCCACCAATACTATCCTCATAAAACTTAAGGTCAGATAGAGGGTGTGGTTCTTATACCCACTCTCCAGTCCTCAATCGATGTTCTCTTTAAAAGATGGCTCAGTGGCTTAGCATTCACAAGGCACTGAGTTCAATCCTCAGGTCCCTTCCTTCCTCCCTTCCCACCTCCCCCAGCTAAAAAGGCAGAGAAGTCTAAATGAACTAAGATCGTACAGATGGCTAAGCTAGAGGTGGGGTTGAGATCAAGATTTCTTGACTTAATTCTAGCAAAATTCTTATTTTTCCAAAAGCATTTGTTAATTGAAGTACCCTCACTAACAAAATCATTTTCTAAGCAAAGCTTGAACATACAGTTTTTCCTTTTTTTTTTTTTTTTAGTGGTGGGACTGTAACTCAGGGCCTTGCACTTGCTAGGCAAAGACTCTACCACTAAGACATATCCCCAGTCCAAATTTTCTTCTTTGTGTTAAATTACACAGATTGACAGTTATACCTGTCACATTTCCTAGAATAAACTCAGGTCATGATGTATGATTATTTTATATACTGCTGGATTCAATTTGCTAATTTTTTTTTTTCAGGTAAGGAGTAGGTTTATTCATTGTTCCGGTTGGCACCAGGCCATCTTGGTCCTCCATGGGATGGGGAAAGGCCTGGGAAAGAGAGAGAAAAGAGAAAAAAGAGCTAGAAAAGACAGCATCTGGGAAAGAGGTGGGAAAGAGCAAGCTAGGAAAGAGAACAGAGCTGGGAAAGAGAAGAGAAGGAAAGAGTTGAGAAAGAGCTAGAAAAGAGCAGAGAGAGCTCAATTTGCTAATTTTTTAAAAAAGGATCCTGAGTTAGCTATTAGTCCTATACACAAACTGCCAGAGACAATAACTTAGGAAGAGGAAAGGTTTATTTGGCACCGTGATGGAGGTTTCATGATCTGTTGGCCACACCGCTTTGGGCCTGTGGTAAGGAAATATGTCATGGGAAGGTGTAGCAAAGCAAACCCCCGGCTCTCATCAGCCAGGGAACAGGGACAGAGAGGAAGGAGTGGGGGAGAGGAGTGGAGGAGGGATGGTCCCACATTCCACAACCTCCTTCTGGGGCATACCCATCCCATGGCCTAAGAACATCCCCGTAGGCACTGCCCATCAAAGGTTCCATCACCTCTCAATAGCACATTAAAATGTGAAGCACATTTTTAACACAGGGCCTTGGGGCATGCAGTTTCCAAACTCAGCTGCTGATTACATCTGTGGTCATGAGGGATGGTGGTCTGTAATTTCCTTTTGCCAGTGTGTGTGTGTGTGTGTGTGTGTGTGTGTGTCTGTGTGTCTGTGTCTGTGTGCTGGTCTTGGGATTTGAACTCAAGGCCTCCTGTGCTTGTTCAGCTTTTTCACTCAAGGCTGGCAGTCTGGGCTGGGAAGGTGGCTCAGTGGTAGAGCGCTCGTCTTGCATGCCTGAGGCCCTGGGTTCGATTCCCAGCACCACATAAGCAAAAAGAAAAAAGCCGGAAGTGGCGCTGTGGCTCAAGTGGTAGAGCGCTAGCCTTGAGCTTAAGAGCTGAGGGATAGCGCCCAGGCCCAGAGTTCAGGCCCCACGACCGGACCCCCCAAAAAAAAAAAAAAAGGCTGGCAGTCTACCGCTTGAGTCACACCTCCATTTATTTTTATTTATTTACTGGCCATTCAGGGCCTGGGCATTGTCCCTGAACTCTTTTTGCTCAAGACTAGTACTCTACCACTCTGAGCCACAGATCCACTTCCCGTTTTCTGGTGGTTAATTGAAGATGTCTCTTGGAATTTCCTGCCCCAGCTAACTTTGGACGCGATCCTCAGTTCTCAGCCTCTTAAGTAGCTAGGATTACAGATGTAAGCACCAACCCAGAAAACCACTCTGACACATAGTCATGTAGGAGATAGAAGTGTTTAATGTCAGCTAGAGGTTGACAGGCTATCTCTCTTGGAATAGCCTTAAAAGGTAGATATAGTATCCGGAGTCTGAGGGCAGAAGGGGCTGGGGCAAGAAATCTTTGTGGTCACAGCTGGACACTGGAGATATCCGACAGCCAGGGCAGGACATTCTATAGCTGGCTTGAAGCCAGGGAACACATCCCATCACAGACATATCTAGCACGTAGCAAAAGCAATATATCTTACAGCTGTCATGTATCGGGGGGAAACATTTTGGAGCAGAGACAATACTTCTATAGTTGCCACCTTGCAATCATACACTAGAGCCAGTATGAGATCAAGACTAATATCCGGACTCTGTTGCTGATGCAGCCAGGCAGTAGGAACAGACAACTATGGCCAGCTTGGCCTGCAAAGGACCCAGGGTGAGGGCTTTCAACACAAAGTGGGGGTGAATAAGCTTACAACAGGTGTGAGCCACCAGTGCCCAGCTTAGGTCTTCTTAAATTTCAACCAGGTTTTTTTTATTTGCAGCATGTAATTTTTGCACACACACACACATACATACATGCATACATGCATGCATACATGCATGCATGCATGCATACATACATACACAAATACACATAGCCCTGCCCAGCCTGGAACTCACTAAGTGGCCTGGGTTGACATCTTCCTGCTGCCACCTTTCTGAGTGCTGGAAATACAAGTGTGAACTACCACACCTGGCTTTATTCCTACCATGCATTTTTTTTATCTTATAATAAATAATTGTTCTTGACCTTTTTTTAGATTGTCCACTGCTAATATGCAATTAATATTTACAATTGCCTAGTGTTTACCAATTGTACAAAATAGTGATATTTACTTTTTTCATTGGGGGGGGTGGGGAGCTGGTAATGGGGCTTGAATTCAGGGCCTCACTCTCTCTTAGCTGTATTTACTCAAAGCTGACACTCTACCACTTTTTGCTGGTTAATTGTGGACTATTCTACCCAGGCTGGCTTTGAACTGTGATCCTCAGGTCTGCCTTGAGTAGCTAGGATTACAGTTGTGAGCCACCAGTGTCTTGGTAAGTAACTCTTATTTTACTTAGTAATGGCCCCAAAGTGCAAGACCCTTGGTGCTGGCAATTCGCAAATGCCAAGAGCCACAAAGTGTTTCCCTTAAGTAAAAGAGAGAAAATATATATCTATACAAGGTTCAAGCACCCAATGGTAAGAGGGGGCTACTGTAATTAACATACCACCAGTGTCCAGGACAAGGGCAACAGAGAAGACACCAACTACATCAGTGAGATAAGAATCTCCACAGAGGGGCTGGGAAGGTGGCTCAGTGGTAGAGCGCTTGCCTTGCATGCATGAGGCCCTGGGTTCAATTCCTCAGTACCACATAAGCAGAAAAAGCCAGAAGTGGTGCCATGGCTTATGTGGTGGAACACTAGCCTTGAGCTGAAGAGCTGAGGGACAGCGCCCAGGCCCAAAGCTCAGGCCCACAACTGGAAAAAAAAAAAAAAAAAAGGAATCTCACAGAAAGGGAAAAAAGATCAAAATGGGCATGACAAAGCTGAGTGAAACCTGAGCATGAAGCCCTGGGTTTGATCCCTCAGTACCACATAAACAGAAAAAGCCCGAAGTGATACTAAGGCTCAAGTGGTAGAGCACTAGCTTTGAGCAGAGATGGCAAAAAAAAACAAAAAACAAAAAACTAGATAGCATCTTCATTGGTCCAGTGGCTCCCACACCTGGTTAACTCTAGTAGATGAGGCTCTGAAATGCTAGACTCTTTTGATCAAAACAAGCCTTCTTGTCATAAAAATCATAATGAACCTGGATGGCAGAGGCAGCTGATGTCTGTATCCCTAACTACTTAGGAGGTTGAGATCGGGAAGAGCATAGTTTGAGGCATGCTGGGGCAAAAAGTTCACGATATCCCTTTCTCAACAAGAGCAGGGAATGCCTGTCATCCCAGCTAAGACAGGAAGCCTAAAATAAGCAGAATGAGACCCAGGCCTGACTCAGCAGGAATCAAGGCCTTACACCAAAAAGAAGCAGCATAGCTGGGCACTAATGGTGCAGGAGGATTGTGGTTGGAAGCCAGCCTGGGCAAGAAAGTCTATGAGACACTTAAAAGCCTGAAGTGGAGGTGTGACTCAAGAGGTGGAGTGCCAGCCTTGCGCAAAAAGGTAAAAGAAAGCACAAGGCCCTGAGTTCAACCCAGTTACTGGCACAGTTGCAAAAAAAATAACCAGTGTGAAAAATGCCTGGTGGTATATAACTCAGTGGTACACAGCCTGCCTATCAGGTGTGAAGATGTGAATTCAAATCCCAGTACTGCCCCTCCCCCCAAAAACCATTATAAACCAAGACAATAATTTGCAACACTCAACTATACACGAAGACTCAGTATACATATTGGTTTTCATATGATTTTATTTAAAAATCTGCAGAGGTGAAGGGATCTGCTCTTTTGTTAAAAGAATGCTTTTTTTTTTCACAGTATATATTGAGCCATTTTAGTTGTGTATTGATAGTTACAGAAAATCAAGTTTCTGTTTATGATCCTCCCTCCACTACACTGGGCTGGTGCTTGACATCTTGCAGCAAGCTACCATCTTCCCCGGGCTGAGGCTCCCAGCAAACCCTCTCACCCTTGTAGAACACCCACAGAAGCTCTTTGGGGGCTCTGCCCTGAGAATCCTTAATTGTAAAGTTGGAAAAAACCTGAAAAGGATCCTTAACACCTGTAACAAACCCAACTATCTGTGAATGCTTGAGCGTTTCAAGTTTGAATTACTTGAAATTTATGAGCTTATTCCACATGTAGTAGAATATATGCTTTTACATGGTTAAAAAATTAGGTGAAGTATCATACCTCAATAGTTTCAAATGTTACTTAATAAAATGTATTGAAAGAAGATATGCAGCACGGTCTTTTCATCCCTGTTACTTCTTCTGACGGTTGCTACTCGATGGTCAAAAAAACCAGAGAAAGAAACCAAACAAATTGGTATTTGACAATGCCTGCAAGGAATGTACAATTTAAATTATGTTAACTGAAATTAACCTGGAAAAGAAAAAGGTCTACAAGCCATATTATTTTAAAAGATGAGGTAGGTTTTTTCCCCCCTTAGGCTGTACAATGAAAATAACAAAAAAAAAAAATCCATACAACTTTCAAACCTACTTTTAAAAAAAAAAGTTGAGGCTGCAGTCACTTTTACAAGCAATACATTGATGGCCTTGATGAAGACGCCTCGCTCAGGCAAGCTCTGTCCTTGTGATGTTAGCTGATTCAACAATCAATCTTGGATCGATCAACTCTTTCCAAAACACAGTGATCTGAGGAAATATATAAAATACTCAGTTTAAGCACTTCATCTTGAAGTTATATAAGTTTTAGTAGGTTAGCTAAGTGAATTTCTGTTTATGCAGAACTGAATTCTAGTAAATTAACTTCAATAGGACACAAAAACTCATTCACCTAGAATGTGATGAAACTTTGTATTACATATTTCCTCCTCTGATTTAGAAGGGCTGTGGGGACACTGGAAAATTAAACAATGTGTCAGGGAAATATGCTCTGTGCACAAGTGGCCCGCGAACCTCTTAGGGGCTATTTGTGGCCCACTTGAGTGTCACTGATAGGGTTCTGTGCAGCTCTGTAGTTCTTACCCTGTGCTGCCTAAAAATATGAACTATTTTACAAGAAACCTGTAAGCTTGGCTATGAGCAACGAGAGCCATCTAGTGCAAAAAAGGAGCATTACAGGCCTCTTGTTTGTTCATTTGCTAGGACACAGAGAAAGCCTCCAACATTTAATTTCCCAATGCAGTTTCTAGGAATACATTTCAAAAGGGCTAGGTTCGTGGACTTCAAAAACAAAAACAAAAACAAAAAAACACAATGTAGGAAACTGGACCAAACCTGCTGATCTTACCACAGACCATGACACTGTTTTTGGATTCTATCCTTAAGATTGTTATCCATTCTTCTTCTTCTTTTTTTTTTTGTGCCAGTCTTGGGGCTTGAACTCAGGGCCTGGGCACTGTTCCCGATCTTCTTTTGCTCAAGGCGAGAACTCTATCACTTGAGTCACAGTGCTACTTCTTGCTACTTCTGACCTTTTCTGTTTATGTGGTATTGAGGAATCGAACCCAGAGTTTCATGCATGCTAGGCTAGCACTCTACTACTAAGCTACATTCCTAGCCTTCATCCATTCTTCTTTTAAATGAAAAAAAATTTTTTACTGTTATTAATTTTTTTATAAAGCAAAGGAAACCAAAGTCTGGTGATAAGTTTCTCCAACTTTAACATTTCAGACAAAAATGTGAATTTTCAATGCTTAAACTTACAGTCTAATACCCATAATATTCCTTATTTTGGTGCCAATCTTGGGCTTCTTTTGCTCAAGGCTAGTGCTCTATTACTTGAGCCATAGCTCTATTTCTGTTTCGTTGTTGTTGTTGTTGTTGTTTTAGTTCATTGGAGATAAAGAATCCCATGGACTTTCCTGCCTGGGCTGTCTTGGAACTGTGATCCTCAGCTTACAGTCTTCTGAGTAGCTAGGGTTACAGGTGAGCCATGGGCATTTGGCTCACTTGGCTCTTTTGCTCAAGGTTGGCACTCTACTGTTTGAGCCACACCTCCATTTCCAGCTTTTTGTTGGTTAATTGGCAAAAGAGTCTTGCAGAATTGTCTGCTTGGTCTGGCTTTGAACATCAATCTCAGCCTCCTAAATAGCTTGCATTATAGGCGTGAGCTACCAGTACCTGGCCATTTCTGGTTTTTATATAGGCAGTAGGTCAGGTTTTTGCTTTGTTTTGTTTTATTTTTGCCATTTATGGGGCTTGAACTCAGGGCCTGGGCACTGTCCCTGGGCTTCTTTTGCTCAAAGCTAGCACTCTACCACTTAAGCCTTTTCTGGTTATGCGGTACTGAGGAATCAAACCCAGGGCTTCATGCACGCTAGGCAAGCACTCTACCACTAAGCCACTTTCCCAGCCCCTCTAGGAAACATTGATGTCACTTTCCAGAGCCTGGGTCATCAAACAAAAGAGAATGTCTGCCTAAGCAATAAAGGAAAAAGAATCGTGCCTACCCTTCTCTCCTGTGTCACTGCGTACTCCACTACCTCAGTTCCGTTCTCATTGTGATAAACCAAATCAAACTTCCCAGGTTCTTTCAAGGCTGAAACCAGAGATTAGGCAAGAAAGACAGTAAGTCATTTGTTGTAGTCAAAATGTTCCTTTGCAGGGAATTGTATCAACTGGGGCAAAGGCTGGTGTATGCTGTTACAGGAGACGCTTCCCAACCCATACTAGCCACAGGGGGCTCCCTGGCATTTATCAGTGAAATCTCTCCTTCATCAGAAAGAAATGAGCTTGATGAAGGGTCACTAGTAGTTCCACAGTACCATGTCACCCCACAAGAAAAACCTCAAAAGATAATGGGTGTTTCAAAAAGAGAAAGTGAACTGGATGCAGTGGCTCACACCTGTAATCCTAGCTACTCAGGAGGCTAAGATCTGAGGACCGCAGTTCAAAGCCAGCTGGGGCAGAAAGGTCCATAAGCCTTTTATCTCTAATTAATCCACCAGAAAACCAGAAGTGGTGCTGTGGCTCAAGTGGTAGAGTGCTCCCTTTGAGCTGAAGAGCTGAGGGACAGCGCAGAGGCTGAGTTCAAGCCCCACAACTGACAAAAAAAAAAAAGCAAGTGATCTGAAAAAAACAACCCTCACCTCAGAAATCACGCATGCCTATTACTTTAGAAATACAGCCAGGCTTCAGCTTTGGGATTGGAAAAATGACCATGCAAGCTGAAACCATGCAAACTTTTTTTTGTACCACTTGAGCCAGACCTCCAGCCTGTGCAAGCAATGCTTAACAATCAATGGGAAAAAATTATGATTGTTGGAAAATCATTCAAATAAAATAAAATAAAATAAAAACCGTATTATTGAGGTAAATGGAAAAGTAGTAAAACCATTATGTAATACAAGTAGGTTTTTAACATTAGAAACAAAATGTTTTGTTTCGTTGTAAGAAATGTATCAAAGATGATCAGAACAATGGTGCCTTCTTGTCTTGTAACTTATAGTAGAGAGGAGGTGTCTTTCTATATTCCACAGAATTACCAGACTTCTTTCCAAGTATGGATTGGCTTTCAGAATTTTATCCTTTGAGCAATCTCAAGAAACAAGCTGAACATTCATTTTTACTTTGAAAATTGGTGAAGTTTTTGCTGGCGCCACTTCTGAAAGTTTCTTTTCTTTTTATTTCTCTCTCTTTTTTTTTTTTTTTTTGCCAGTCCTGGGGCTTGAACTCACTCAGGGCCTGGGCATTCTCCCTGAGCTTCTTTTTGCTCAAGGCTAGCACTCTACCACTTGAGCCACTTCCAGTTTTCTGGTGGTTAATTGGAGATAAGAGTCTCATGGACTTTCCTGACTTTCCTGCCTGGTCTGGCTTTGAACCATGATCCTCAGATCACAGCCTCCTGAGTAGCTAGGATTACGGGCATGGGCCACGGGCGCCCGGTACTAGGTACTTACTGTTTATAGGTACTGAGTAACTAGCTTCATCATGCTAGGCAAGCACTCTACCACTAAACCACATTCCCAGCCCCAGTTTTATCCTTTTCATCACCAAGTTTCCTGGTTTGGGTGGTGCAGGGGCTGAAGCCAAGAGTATGGACATTCTAGGCAAGCAAGTGCTCTGGTACTGAGCGACATCACCAACTACCAACTTCCTCAGCTACATCAGGGAGTGCACCTAAACAGCAGCGTCAACATTGCCACAATGGCTGGCAATTTTCTCTACAATTTACTTAAATCCCAAGTGGATGGGACTGTCAACATTAGCGCTGCTTTCATCTTGTTTACATCTTGGCTGGATAATCCCCTATTTTAGTTACTCCTTCCCTTTTCTGTTTCTTTTTCTTTCATTTCTTTTTCTTTTCTTTTTTTTGGGGGGGGCAGGTGTCTGGTCGTGGGCGTGAACTCTGTGCCTGGGCGCTGTCCCTCAGTTCTTCACTTCAAGGCTAGCGCTCTACCACTTGAGCCACAGCGCCACTTCCGGCTTTTTTTTCTGCTTATGTGGTGCTGAGGCATTGAACCCAGGGCCTCAGGCATGCAAGGCAAGCGCTCTACCACTGAGCCACCTTCCCAGCCCTTTTTTTCTTTTCTTTCCTTTCCTTTCTTTCCTTCCTGTTCTTTCTCTCTCTTTCTTTCCTTCCTGTCCTTCCTTCCTTTCTTTCTCCCTCCCTCCCTCCCTCCCTCCCTCCCTCCCTCTCTCTCTCTCTCTCTCTTTCTTTCTTTTTCTTGTTCCAATACTGGGGCTTGAACTCAAGAGCTTAAGGGTTGTTTCTTAGCTTTTTCCACTCAGGTCATGTTCTACCACTTGAGTTACTCTTTTACTTCCAGCTTTTTGCTCCTTAATTAAAGATAAGTCACATGCACTTTCCTGCGCGGGCTGGCTTAGAACCACAATGATCAGCTCTCAGCCTAGGATGACAGGTATGTGACACTGATGCCCAGCAAGTCTGGGTAGTTTCAAGTGATGCAAGAATGCAAAACTTCCCCCCAAATTAGTATCCCAGTCAATGAAGGAGCAAAGGAGCTAGAGAGAGACGTCTCAGAAGAAGAAATACAAATGGCCATGAGAAGCTGGGTGCTGGTGAGTCACACCTATAATCCTAGCTACTTAGGAGGCTAAGCTTTGAGGATCATGGTTAAAAGCCAGCTTGAGCATGAAAGTCCATGAGACTCTTATCTCCAATTAACCACCAGAAAACGAAGTGGAGTTGTGGCTCAAAGTGGTAGAGTACTAGCCTTGAACTCAGGGATAGTGCCCAGGCCCTGAATTCAAGCCCCATGACCAACACTAACAACAACAAATAAAGAACAGCCATGAGGAAATGCTCAACACCGCTGAGTAAATGTAGTCATTATATTCAAAATACACTATGTGAAACAAATGAATTATGTAATATGAGGTAGGAAGGGGAGGGGGAGAAAACAAAGGTGTGATACTGACCCAGAAGCATTGTACTCATAACCTGAATTGAACCTCTTTGTACACCTACATCATCACCATCATCATCATCAGAATCAAAAGAATGCAAAACTTTGCAAGGCAGCCTAAGTGGAGAATCCTCCTAGATATTTACTGAATCCCTCCCAATCTTTTGTCTCCCCCACACATAATTTAATCGCATCTTTTAGTCATGTTACTGAGTCAGCATGGAACTTAGATTTGCTAGAAATAATTCTTTGCCATCAGCTTTTACCAAGTCTTCTATGAAAGTATATAATTACCGCAATAAGAACACTTAGCCCAACTGTTCTGAGAACCAATCAGCATCTCTAAGACACACAATCCAAGGCGCAGCAACATGGCTGCACTCCCCCAGTGTGCTTCCACAGAGTTACAAGCATCAGAGAGGCCAGTGAAGGGACTCATTGGACATAAAGGCTATTTGGAAACCACTGTAAATATTCACAGCTTAAAAGTTTTAAAAGCATTTCTTCTTTTCTGCCAGTCTTGGGGCTTGAACGCAGGGTCTGCACACTGTCCTTGAGCTTCTTTTGCTCAAGGCTAACACTCTACCGCCTGAGCCACAACACCATTTCCAGCTTTTTCTGTTATGTGGTACTGAGGAATCAAACCCAGGGCTTCATGCATGCTAGCCAAGCACTTTACCACTAAGCCACATTCCCAGCCCTTAAAATTCATTTCTTAAAGACTCACCAGGTAAGGATGAGAGAATTTCTATATCTACTTGCTGGGTCTCTGAATTGTGGCTCAATATTTTTCCTTCCTTTCAAAAAGAAAAGTTCAAGTCAAAAAAATCAACATGTGAGTATACTAAAAACCATACAATTTTTTTGTGTGGTTGTTGGTTGTGGAACTTGAACCCAGGGCCTAGGCACTGTTCCTGATCTCTTTTGCTCAAGGCTAGCACTCTACCACTTTGAGCTACAGCTCCACTTTTGGTTTTTGGGTTTTTTTCTGAGTGGCTAATTGGAGATAAGAAAGAGTCTCATGGGGACTTTTCTTCCCAGGCTGGCTTCAAACAATGAACCTCAGATCTCGCCTCCTGAGTAGCTAGGAATACAGGTGTGAGCCTCCAGCACCCAGTTTCAATTGTAGACTTTAAAAGGCTGAATTGATATATACTTTAATCTCAATTCAAAAGGTTAAAAATAAATCAGCCTGGAGGGGAACTAAAAACAGTGAGCCCAGTACTGTGGCTCATGCCTGTAATCCTAGCTACTCAAGAGGCTGAGATCTGAGGCTCTCAGTTCGAATCCAGCTCAAGGAAGAAAGGCTATGAGACTTTTACCTCCAATTAACCACCAAAAAGTGGGAAGTGAAGCTGTGCTTCAAGCAGTAGAGCACTAGCCTGGAGCAAAAAAGCTCAGGGACAGTATCCAGGCCTTGAGTTCAAACCACAGGTCCAACACACACACACACACACACACACACACACACACACACACACACACACACACACACACACACACGCTCTGAATTTTTTTATTCACTTCTATTTGTTTAGTTATTTTGAGGCAAGGCTGGCCTATTGTCCCTGAACACACACACACACACACACACACACACACACACACACACACACACACACACACACACATGCTCTGAATTTTTTTATTCACTTCTATTTGTTTAGTTATTTTGAGGCAAGGCTGGCCTATTGGCCCTGAACACACACACACACACACACACACACACACACACACACACACACACACATATGCTCTGAATTTTTTTATTCACTTCTATTTGTTTAGTTATTTTGAGGCAAGGCTGGCCTATTGGCCCTGAACACACACACACACACACACACACACACACACACACACACACACACACACGCTCTGAATTTTTTTATTCACTTCTATTTGTTTAGTTATTTTGAGGCAAGGCTGGCCTATTGGCCCTGAACACACACACACACACACACACACACACACACACGCTCTGAATTTTTTTATTCACTTCTATTTGTTTAGTTATTTTGAGGCAAGGCTGGCCTGTTGGCCCTGAACTCACAGTTCTCTTGCCTCAGCCTCCTGGGTAGCTGGGATTACAGGTACACATCATGGTGCATGACAACAGAGGCTTTTAAAAAGTAGATTTAATGGGAGTCAGGATCCCGGGAGACTTCATTCTCTGACCACAGAATTGACTGTTGAACTTCCCAGGACAGATCTGTATACATCTTTCCTTCCAGTACAATTATTAACACACACACACCCAATCACAAATATCCTAACTTAGTAAATTATAATGGTTGCTTTACATATAGGAGAAACTAAGTAGCCAAGGAGATTAAAAAATCACAGAATACCAATACAAAGAACCAAACCACCAGATCCCTTCATAAACTGATTCTGGCTAGGGGCTACTATACAACTTCACAGTAAAGATGATTAAAAAGTGAACATTTTGATACTGTGTTCATGTTCTACTTTATGATATTTACTTTAAGAATGTCTGTATTAGTTATATATATATATAGAGAGAGAGAGAGAGAGAGATGAGTATTATTAAATATATCCTAGTATTTATTTGAGACAAGGTCTCACTATGTAACAGAAGGTGGCCTCAGACTCAAGATCCTCTTGCTCCATTTTTCTGAGTCCTAGGACTACAGGCATAAGCTACCATGCCTGTAGGTTTACTATCTACTGACAACTTAATCTTTTTTTTATTTCTTTTTAGAGATGCGTGTCTCATTATGTTGGTGAGGCTGTGAGCATCTGGACTCAAGTGATCTTCCTGCCTCGGCCTCCTGAATATCCAGGATGACAAGCACTTGTAACCATACCTAGTTAGCCAAAATTTGTTGTTGTTGCAGTCCTGGGGCTTGAACTCGGGGTCTGCGCACTGTCCCTGAGCTTCTTTTGCTCAAGGCTAGCACTCTAACACTTGAGTCACAACACCACTTCCAGCTTTTTCTGCGTATGTGGTACTGAGAAATTGAACCCAGGGCTTAATGCATGCTAAACAAGCACTCTACCACGAAGCCACATTCCCAACCGAATTATTTTTAAACATGCAACCTTACCTTGTAGTCAGACACATCAGGAGTGTAGTCAGGTGTTAATTCCAAAAGCTAAAAAAGAAGAAAGAAAATAATCCTACAAATATACAAACCCTAAGACTCTCACCTGCCCACGGCCCCTCCCTCTTCCATCCAAGAAATCATACAAAAGTGTCCCTACCCCAAGGACACAGCAACACTGGAGATCCAGGGAGAAGGGTGTTTATAAACATGTTTATAACCGCATGACACACTCAGGAAGTCCACTTGGAAAAAGGAGCTAAGCTTTTCTTTGTTGGAAGTCTTGTGGTTCTAAAACATATCTTAAGAGGGCTGGGAAGGTGGATCAGTGGTAGAGTGCTTGCCTTGCATGCATGAGGCCCAGGGTTCGATTCCTCAGCAGCACCACATAAGCAGAAAAAGCCAGAAGTGGTGCTGTGGCTCAAGTGGTAGAGTGCTAGCCTTGAGCTGAAGAGCTGAGGGACAGCGCCCAGGCCGAGTTCAGGCCCCATGACTGACAAAAAAAAAAAGAAAAAAGAAAACATACCTTAAATGCAATCTTTTCTCCAACCCGAGGGGCAGCTGCTAACAGTGGTAACAGACTATAGTCCTTCTTGTGTATTTCTACTGGATTCTGAAAAACAGCATTAGCCATGGAGACTTTGTTACTGGTTGAGAAAATGGGAAGCCACGCCACAGAGTAGGGAGTCACTCCATGGGGGAAAAGCGGGGAGAGCCATCCCAATAAACGCTATTTACCTGGATAATGGTAGATGAGTTTGAGACAACCTCACTTAATTGCTGTTGCTTCTGATACTCGGCGCTTCTATGCAGGACACAGGGAACCACATTTCCTCGTCCTCGACCTCTCCCCCTCAGGCCCCGGCCCCTCACTCCCTTCCAAGGTTCCCCTCGTCCCCATCCTCTTCCCAAATTGCCAGAGACAGATACACCGGGAAGAGGACCAGGAGTCTGTTTGATGCCATTTGAGTCACCAGGTTTCCATCCCATGGCATTTGGAGCCTGTGATGACGGCCCTGGGCCTGGACAACCTCGCCCTGCAAAGAGGCCCGCTGTCTTTAAGGAGCCAGAAGCACACTCCAGGGAGTTCTTGAGCATGACAGGCTGGTCATCGGATTCTGTACTGGAGTCTGAACTAGAAGATGTGGCTCTGGCGGCATTGACCTTGCTGGTGGGCAGGTTAAAGGCGGTTTTGGCTGCCCCTTTGTTCATAGCTGGATTTTTGGTAGCTGGTCCTTCCTTTGATAACTCAACTGACAGTTTGTCTAAGGAGTTCCCATTGCTGAACACATCACTGGAGGACTCCTGGCTAGACTCTGATTCCGAAGCCGTCTCGGGACCTTTTGGTTCTGTGATAGCCCCATCTTGACTTCTGATTTTAGCCAGGCTGGCAGAACTTTTTGGGGAATTGCTGTTGCAGGTGGACCGCTCTTTTCCTGAAGATTTGGGGTTCCTGATCTGTTTCTTATACTCACACTTCTCCTTTTTCTTTGGTGATATTCTTTTGGTCTCCTCTTCCCGTTCACCCATGGCGCCACATGGTGCTTTGCTTCTTCTCTTGTTCTTTTTCTTCACAGTCCCATCTGTGCCAGCTTTTGGCTCTAGATCCAAGGCTTTCTCCTGATTGCCGTTGCTCTTTTGCCTCTTCCAGTGCTTCTTTGAATAACTGTACCCAAGTTCGTTTTCTTCATCCTCTACCAATTTTAAAGTCCGCTTCTTTGCTTTCCTAGGTGATGAGTGCAAATCACCCCCATTCCTGACTACGACAGGATCCTCAAGAATTTCTCTCTCTTCTAACTTAACTCTGTCGAGAGAATAAGAGAAAACTGGAGTGAGCAATTCAGAGGCATGACTCCAGGATGCAGTTACATCCTGAGAAGATGGCAAACTCACTACCGCCATTCAATGAAAACTTCCACAATGCTTAAGGACAAAAGACCTTTGACCTTCATTCAATGGCCTACATTCAACTTCCATATGGCTAGTCTTACCTATTATCTAGGTCCCAGAATTTATCTATACGTTTTTTCTAAGCTAAATGCCACCACAAATTAGGTAGTTTTTTTCTTTTCCTTCCTTCCTTCCTTCCTTCCTTCCTTCCTTCCTTCCTTCCTTCCTTCTTTCCTTTCTTTTTCCCATCCTTCCTTTTCTTTTTTTGTGCCAGTCCTAGGGCTTGACCTCAGGGCCTGGGCATTGTCCCTGACCTTCTTTTACTCAAGGCAAGCAATCTACCATTTGAGCCACAGCTTCACTTCCAACTATTTTTGGTAGTTTAGTGGAGATGAGTCTCACAGACTTTCCTGTCCAGGCTGGCTTCAAATCACAATCCTCAGATCTCAGCCTCTTGAGTGGCTAAGATTACAGGTGTGAACTATGGGCGTCCAGCTCACACGAATAGTTTGGCCAACATAGCTAATAGCTAATAAGCAGCAGAAACACAACTCAAACAGCAGTTTGGCCAGCTACAAGACTCAAAATCTTTCCCTTTACTTGTAAGTCATCCAATCTAAAAGGTGATATCTTAGCCAGACCCAGTAGCTCACAGCTGTAATCCTAGCCACTTAAAAGGCTGAGATCTGAGAATCTCAATTCAAAGCCAACCTTGGGCAGACAAATCCAGTAACCCATTACTGATGTGTTTGCACATGCACGTGTGCACACAAGTTATAAGACTTTCTGCTCAGTCTTAGCAGTTTACTAAATCACTAGAATATAATACATGTCCTGCCATTTCTGGAGCTGGCAATGGTGCCCCCCCCTCCCTTTTTTGTGCAGATTCAGGGGCTTGAGCTCTTGCTTTTTTTACACAAGGCTATTGGGTTTGGTGGTTAATTGGAAATAACCGTCTCACAGACTTTATTGCCTTGGCTGGATTCAAACCACAACCCTCAGATCTCGGCCTTCTGAGCAGTCAGAATTACAGGTGTGAGACAACAGCGCCCAGCCTCAGGAACATTTTGGATTTGGGTTTTTTGTGGTTTTTTTTTTTGACAGTCATGGGGCTTGAACTCAGGGCATGGGTGCTGTGTGAGCTCTTTTGCTTGAACCAAGCCACCTGTGATTTTCTGGTGGTTAACTGGAGATAAGAGTCTCACCAAGCAGGGCGCTGGTAACTCACGCTAGCTACTCAGGTGGCTGAGATCTGAGGATCACAGTTCAAAGCCAGCCTGGGCAGGAAAGTCCGTGAAACTCTGATCGCCAATAAACCACCAGAAAACTGAAATGGCGCTGTGCCTCAAATGGGAGAGTGCTAGCCTTGAGCTGAAGAGCTGAGGGACAGCGCCCAGGCCTGGAGTTCAAGCCCCATGACCAACAACAACAACAAAAAAAAGTCTCACTAAAACTTTCTGCCTGGCTTCGAACTTCCATCCCCAGATCTCAGCCTCCTGAGTAGCTAAGATTACAGGTGTGAGCCACCAGAGCAAGGCTTCAGTAACATTTTTTTTTTAATTATTATTATTATTTTTTTTTTTTGCCAGCCCTGGGGCTTGAATTCAGGGCCTGGGCACTGTCCCTAAGCTTCTTTTGCTCAAGGCTAGTGCTTTACCACTTGAGCCACAGTGCCCCTTCCAGCTTTTACTGTGTATATGGTTCTGAGGAATCCAACCTAGGGCTTCACTCTACCACTCTACCACTAAACCACATTCCCCACCCTTTTAAAAAGATTTCTAAAAGCAATCTTTTTTTCTTTTTTTTTTAAATTTTTTTATTGTAAAGATACTGTACAGAGTGGTCACAATTACATGAGTACGGTAATGAGTACATTTCCTATTGAGCATTGTTACCCCCTCCTTTGTTTTTCCCTTACTATCCCCCCCCTCCCCCACCCCCAGTTGTAAGTTTTCAACATAGTGTCTGGTATGTCTCCTTGTTACAATGGGTCAACCTGTATCCTTGTTTCAGCATTTTGTTATTTCCCTTCCCCTCCCCAAAATTAGAAAAATGTATATACCAGATGCAGGGCACCAGAATCAAATACAGTAACAACAGGGATTAAACCATGGGGGAAGAACATACAAAAGAAACAACAAAAAAAAAAATCACACAGTACATTAAAAACAACATAAAAGCAATCTTTCTTATGTGCAGGTACCAGGGGTTTGAACTCATGGCTTTGACTCTCAGCTTTCTTGCTCACAATTGGTGCTCTGCCCATTGAGCCAGGCCTCCAGTTATGCATCTCACTAGTTAACTGGAGATAAGAATCGCATGGACTTTTCTGCCCGACTGGCTTCAGACCTCAGTCCTCCAGATCTCGGTCTCTTGAATAGCTAGGCTCACAGGAGTAAGCCACATTTTACATCATTACTATCTCCCACTCACGACTAAGACAAGACCCAAACAAATGTCTAAGCGAGCCCCAAACGCTTGTGTGGAAACAGGACGGTACTCCTCAGAGCCTCGGTGGACGTGGCAGAGTGACCCGCACGTGAGGAAAAGCACATAGCTGTCCTGTGCGATCAGCCGGGGCCGGGCGATCGCGGGGCCGGGCGGAGCCGCGCCCAGAACGGGACGCGAGGATTCGCGACGTCAAGCCCTTCCCCAGCAGCGCGAGCGCTGTTCCCAGTTCGCACCCCCTTGTACTTTCAGAAAGTATCCTGGCCCGGCCTGGTGGCGCACGCCTGTAATCCAAGCTACGCAGGAGAATATCCCCCAATAAACCATCAAATTGCCAGACTCGGGGCGTGGCTCAAGTGGTGGAGCGCCAGCCACGAGCAGACAAACACCAGCCCCAGGGAAGAGGACGCTCGGGAGCCCTTTCCTCGGCAAGACGGACCAGGGTCTCCCCGCTGCCGGTGAGCTGGGCTCCATCCGGGTCCCTACCGCTCCCGCGCCTCGCGAACGCGCAGGCGCGCGCCTCGGGCCCCGCCCCCAGCCCCGGCCCCGCCCAGGCCCAGGCCCAGGCCGCGCCGCGCGCACCTGAGGCTGTCGTTGTCCCTCACCAGGCGCGCGCTCTCGGTGGGCGGCAGCAGACCCCCGTCCAAGTAGAGGCCCAGGAGCGCGCCGGAGCTGAAGCCGAAGCGGTGACGGACGAGGCTGATGAGATCGGTGACAACTCGACATCGGTTGAGGTCGACGAGGAGCCAGAAGACTGTGCAGTGCGGGGTGGCTGGCGGCGGATAATCAAATTGAAGCCGTAGCCTAACCGTCTCGGTCGCTGCCATCTTGCCAGTGCTTCACGGAAGCCGAGAGGAACCACACTGCTCCGGGGAAAGCGTGCTGGGGCGGCCCGCCCCGCCCCGCCCCCCGGGCCCGCCCCCCCGCCCCCGGGGCCGCCCGCGACTGCCACCTACGGCTGGGAAGTGGGTACTGCAGGCTCCGTCCGCTGCCGCCGCCGTCCTTGAGCCGCTCTGGACGAGGCCTAGGCAGAAGAGTACGAACGAAGTATTAGGCCTTTCCTACCCAACACTAGAGGGGCCTTTTGAGGATCCTGGTTCAAAACCTGCCTGGGAAAAATAAATCAATAATCCGAGAGACTTATAGCCAATGAACTAGCAAAAAGCCCGAAATAGAGCTGTGGTAGAACAACCAGTCTTGAGAAGAAGAAAGCCAAGAAGAGAGTAAGGCCCTGAGTTCAACCCCCAGTACCAGCACAAAGCAAAGAGTTTTAAAAATGGTAATAAAACTTCTGTCCTGCCTGAGGAGGTTGGAGATATCACTCCGTGGTAGAGTTCTTGCTTGGCATAAGTAGGGCCCTGGGTTCAATCCCCAGCACAGAAGCAAAAAACTCTTTCGCCTGGGAATAATATGGACTTAAAAAATAGATGAGATCGTCTTTATCTGCAAGTCAAATGTTAAGACATTTTAGGAGTGTTTTTGTTTTTAAGCTGGGCACCAGTGGCTCACATCTGTAATCCTACCTACTCGGGAGGCTGAGATCTGAGGATCACAATTTGAAACTAGACTAGGCAAGATAGTCCATAAGATTCTTATCTCCATTTAACCACAAAAAAAAAAAGCCAGAAGTGGAGCAGTGGCTCAAGTGGGAGAGCACTAGCTTTGAGCCCAGGCCTGAGTTCAAGTACACACACACACACACTTTTTTTTTTTCTGTGTATGTGGTACTGAGGAATTGAACCCAGGGCTTCATGCATGCTAGGCAAGCATTCCCACCAGGCCATATTCCCAGCTCCATACAAAGACTTTTAGCTGTAATTCCAGCACTGAAGCAGGAGCAGGAAGACTGCAAGTGTGAGGACAGCTTAGGCTACGTAGGAAATTCTAAGCCAGCCTGGGTTACATAGTGAGATCCTGCCTCAAAAAAAAAAAAAAAGACTTTTAATATCTACCATGGGATTACTTTGACATTCGTTCTACCTAGTTTCCCTTGCATTTTATTATTAAAAAATTCAATTTATTACAAAGAATTGTTCAAGCATAATTTTTTTAAAAAATTTATCCATTTACCTGCCACCAACATTCTACATTTTTCTTGGAGGCTAGTACAGGGTTTGAACTCAGGGCCTAATTCTTGGCTTATTTTACTCTAGTCTGACACTCTTGGCACTTGAGCCATAGCACCATGTCCCGTTTTTTTGGTGAGCATTGATTATAAGCATTACTAATTTTTCTAACTAATAGGTTGGAACTATGATCTCAGCCTCCTGAGTAGCTAGGCTTACAGGCATGAGCCATCAGTGCCCAGCAAGGGTGCAACTTTTATATACAGTCCTTTCCAAATGTTTCTTTCACAGGCTGATCCCCCTGATAGGGCTTTAGGGGATTTTACCCTGTACAGAACACAAGAGAACCTGGGTATGGTCTCTTTATACATGTCACTTCCTATTGCTACTGCCTTCCCTCCCTTATCCACAGCAGCTCATAGCGTCCAGCCCTCACCGGCTGTCACTGGCAGTCAGGTCTGGACTGTCCTTCGTCTCTGTGGATTTATGCTTGGCAGTGGGAGGGAAGCAGGAAAAGGGAGTCAAGGTCATCTGTACTTGGTTGTTATTTGGGGATTTTGCTATTTACACTTTTGAGAAAAAGCATTTAGATTTTTTTTGGGGGGGGGTCGATCATGTGGCTTGAACTCTGGGCCTGGGTCAGAGTTCAAGAGAGTTCTCTCTCTCTCTCTCTCTCTTTCTCTCTCTCTCTCTCTCTCTCTCTCTCCCTCACACACACACACACACACACACACCCTAAAATCCACTTTGTCTCATCTCCCTTCCCCAGATCTCAATATTTTATTTTAAAATGTTCTGGAATAATGTGACAATACAACAATGCTGATCACAAATTACTGATAAAGAAAAAAGTGTTTCATGCTCCAAAGATGAAGTAAAAGATTATGAAAAAAGTATTCCAAATGCCAATAATGGTTATGGATTTTTTTTTTAACCAGTCCTGGGGCTTGAACACTGGGCTTGGGCGCTGTCTCTGAGCTGCTTTTTGCTCAAGGCTAGTGCTCTCCCACTTGAGCCACAGCGCCACTGCTGGCTTTTCTGAGTAGTTTATTGAAGAGTCTGATGGACTTTGCTGCCCCAGCTTTGAACTGGGATCCTCAGATCTCAGCCTCCTGAGTAGCTAGGATTACTGGTATGAGCCACTGGCACCCGACTTGGATCTAACTTTTTAAATATAATTTTATTGTCATATTAAGGTGTTGCATAGAGGGATTGCTATTTCACAATTCAGGTAATGTGTACATTTCTCTTTTGGACAATGTCACCCCTTCCTTGTCCCTGCCCACATTTGCATAGTTCATTTTGATTTTTTTTCACTTCTCCAAAAGCATAATATATGTGATTTTTGCATGAAAAATAAAAGACTAAAAAAAAAGTCTGAAAATGGAATTTCATAATTTCCAACTATGAAATAATAATGCATAATGTGACTCAGGGTGCAGCAGTTTTTTAAATACGTACAAGGTCTTTTGTTAGAGAAGGCTGAGATTGGAGGGGCAGTGGTTATTCCTCTAGGGTTTCTCAATTCAGCCGGTTGCACAAATAAATGTATTCAGTATAAATGTATTCAGAGCCTCCCTCCCAGAAAGCCTTCCCTAAATGTCAGCACCAGGCGGAACTGCTCCAGCGCCCTTGCAAGAGTCCTTGGGTTGAAATGCCCGACAGAGGGCGCGCTAGACAATGTGAACCTCCAGTCAGGCCAAACCCCGCCCCAGTCCCGCTCCCAGGAGGCCCAGGCCCCGCCTCCAACCCACCCAGGCCCCGCCCCAGGCCCGCCCAGGCCTCCACCCACGTGGTCGGATCGTCACGTGACGGGGCGCCGGTCCAGCCTGTTGCTGATGCTGGGGAGCCGAATTCATCATGGAGCTCGTGCCGCGGGTCCCTTCTGCCCCTCGGTGGCCGCTGCTGCTGCCGCTGCTCCTGGGCCTCAGCGCAGGTAGGTCAAAGCAAAAGGCGCACGGCCGTCTGGCGCCCCCTCTTTCCACCGAGCAAAGTTTGTTAGTGGGTTTAGTATGTGCTAACACAAATTGGGTTCCCCCAGTTCTTACCTGGAGTAATTATGTAGTTCTTGACATCTATATCTATATCTGTACATTCAGTTCAGAATGCTTTTCTGCCCTCTTCAGGTGAGGGTGACCTGGTACTTCCTTCTTCCCTTGCATAAGCAGTTGTGCAGAAATGTATGCTCTGAGGAAGCTGCTGATCAGTGGGATTTTTCACTTCTGAAAGCCAGGTCCCCCCTGTGACTGTCTCCCCAAGGAGGCTGTATGGTCTTTCATTATGAGCTGAGATATGGATCAATGAGACCTCTCCAAATGTTTACCAGAAATGAGACAGTTCACTGACCATAAGGCCTTGTCTGCCCCCCATCCCTGGCTTGATTAGAATGGACAGAATTGCAGCAGCCTTGCCAGCCTGCTTTATAGGCAAAAGCAAATTTGTGTTTAATAGGATGACATGCAAATCAATTCTCATACTTCATTCAGGAAAAAGAAAAATGTCTTCTCGTCTGAAGCAAGAAATGAGCATTTGAACTTGTCTTAGTGATACACAGCAGTTTCTGTTTTGTTTCTTTTCTTCCTCTTCCTCTTCTTCTTCCTCTTCCTCCTCCTCCTCCTCTTCTTCTTCTTCTTCTTCTTCTTCTTCTTCTTTTGGTAAATGGGGACCCTTCTGGCGCAACAGCTTCTGTCCAGGAAATATTTGAAGATGCATTGCACCTTCCCCCAATTTTAACAGTGGTCACTGCCTTGTAGGAAGGGAGAAGTGCTGTGGTGAGGAGGTCTGAGCCTTATCTGCCATTTTCTAGATCTTTCAGCACTATCTGTAGTATGCTAGCCATTCTGCCTCCTTAGGTACTGTCTGGCTTTCTTGATCTTCCTATTTTTTATTCACAAGACAACATTTTCGCGTCCTGTACTCTCATGTCTTCCTTCTTGGGACTAGTTTTCTTTGAGTTGCTTGAAGTGGTTTGAAAACTGAGAAAACCGGAAGAAGGCAGATCTGGGGACTTTGGGATGGGGGAGGGGGAGGGGAAGGACTGGGTTTGCTGTGCTGGTAATTGAACCTGGGGCATTGTGCATGCTAGTCATGTGCCCTGGACTGAGCTTCAACCCCAGCCTGTTGCTGCTGTTTTAGATTATGTCTATCTGTGTTACTCAAGATGGTCTTGAATTCTTCAGTTTCTTTTTTCAGAGCTAAGTTTTGTTTCCTTATCCCTACAATATATTGAAGTAAGTAAATCACCTAAAATATAAACTATCATCTATAGCTTAGCATGGCCGTTTCTACCAGGCTTGGAAGTTAACTGGATAGTGAACATTTTTCAGGAAAATGACACTGAATTTCTGTTTAGGAGCTGCCATTGACTGGCCTACAGAGGAGGGCAAGGAAGTCTGGGATTATGTAACTGTCCGAAAAGATGCGCACATGTTTTGGTGGCTCTATTATTCCACCAATCCTTGCAAGAACTTCTCAGAACTGCCCCTGGTCATGTGGCTTCAGGTAAAATAACTTCATGCCTTGTGTGTTTTTTGTTAGTTTTTTGTGTTTATTTGTGTGTGTGTGTGTGTGTGTGTGTGTTGGTAGGTGGGCGGGAACTCTGTGTGTCCCCCCCCTTCCTGTATGGCTGGTGCTCTCCCACTTGAGCCATGACTCTTAACACAGCTCCCTCACACCCCCGCCACCCTTTTTTGTTGTTGTTATTGTTTATTAGATATGGAGTCTTAAAGACTTTATTGCCCAGATCTCAGCCTCCTGAGTAGCTGAGATTACAGTCATCTCACCAGTA